CATCCCACCCTCCTCTCCCTGTATCTGCTCACTGGGTGAGTGACTGCCCTCCGCCTTCGCGGCGGTTGTGGTAGAGGCACTGTGTGCCGCTTTGGTGTGTGGGAGGTGTGTGTGTGTCCCATATGCCATGAGTGTTCGCTGAGTGCAGCGCGCCGCCGGGCGGCCCCTGCGTTTTCAGGGATCACCATAGTGCGAGGAGCTCATGAAACGAGTGATGTTTGCTTAGCTGCGAGCCCAAAGGAAACGCTGAGTGTGAGTGCATAGAACGACTGCTGAGTTGGTTGTAGAGTCGACTCAAACGTGCAGGCATAAAAGTCTGGGAAAAAAAGGGCATGGAAAAAAAGATCCGCTGTAGATTCACTGTGGAGAAGCTCGGAGGCTTTGACGGTTGCCGCACTCCGTCACAATGATGCCATGGAAGTTTGGTGCACTGATGTTGGCACAGAGATAAATCAAGTGATCACGTTGCCAGTCAGTGCTCCAACAACATGTTGCTGGCAGAATGATCGAAATGTTAGCCAGCAGGGTGCATCACGAGACGCTTTACGTTTTTGCAAGCCGTAGCCATGGCCATACTAGGCTGGAGTCGGGTAGGGTATACGACCTCATCGGATCGCTGGCGCAGGCGGGGGACAAGACTTTGGTGTGGCAAGAGAAACCTTCGCAGTACACCGAATCGGAATAGACCATGATCAGCAGCCATACTGTCGACATGTTGGCCAATCCAAAGCTCATAAATCAAGAGTTCGTCCGCCTCCTCCGCGTTGCCATTGAGATTGACCCGCATGCAACCGTGCCGTCCTTCGATGCCATCGGAGCGTTTGATCATGTGTCTCGCCACGCGATGCTTGCCGGCCTCAGGCAGAGACCCAGCTTGCAGTCTCTGTTTCCCTACTTGTCTGGCAGGAGGCCAGCCGGACGGGTTTATTGCTCAGGCCGCGCAAGTCGGAGATGTTAGCAGGCTCCTCCCCAGGTGCGTTCCAAATGCGGTTTTGCCACTGCCCGTCCGGATGTGCGCTCGGGAACTGCGACAACATACACGTCGTCGAGGTAGGCAAAGACCGTCTCGCTCGCACGCGACTGCGAGCGAACAGCTGCGATCGCTGGGTGTTGAGCGATGGCGTAAAGCGCAGGCATGAGCGGGTATCGCCTTGCGCGCCGCCCGGTTTGTGGGACTGCCCGAGAGGGGATTGGCCATTGCAGTCACAGCCGGACTGCAATGCCGCTGTGTTCCGAACTGCCTGAAGTCTCTTGTGCGCAGCAGTGCTCAACTGTTAGCTGGACAGTACACGACTCGCAGCTTGCCCTTGGGTTTGGTGGACTCGCTGTCCTCTTCCATGCCGTCGCCATCCCACCTGGGGCCTGGGAGCCTGTAGCTTGCAGGGACGCGGTGGCATCCTTCAATGGTTTTTTGTGCGGCCTGTACGTTGCAAGTTCGAGTGACTTCAATGTCCCAAGCTCCGCAAGCCCCTCCCGCGTCAAGCTTTGCAGCATCACAGCGTGGTTGCTTGTTATGGCGCTCACCCTCAGTTGCTGCTGATGTTTGGGCATTTGACAATGCGGTCCCAATTTTGGTTGGGATCGTGGCTCCAACCAATGCTAATTTTCCAAGCGTGCCCCTGGATGACACCAGGCCAAGCTGAAACGAAACGTTGGGCAGGGTATATTGTTGCGACTGCAAAGGGAAAGGCCCGTGAACAAAGCATGGCCCTGACCAAACCATCGACCAGCCCTTTCCCCATGTGCACGAGTCAGACGGGGAAGGGTTGCTTGTTTCAAGCTTTATTCAACTTTCAATTTGCTGGCTCGGTGGAAGTTCGGTCGACTAGACAGTAACCCTCTTCAATACGCTATAGCTGGCATGCGAGAATGATACTCGTATCGGACGTCAGGAGGCATATTCCACAACAGATGGTCGTTCAAGGACAAGCCTCTCTAGGCGCCGAGGCGCAACAGTAACATCACCAGTGGAACGCCACGGACATCCTTTGCCGATTGGACGACATGGCGATGTTGCAGGCATCATCACCCATCAGCTTTTTGCGAAGACCTTTGCGACTTTTGTTCGATCCTCGCGCACGTGAGCGCAGCTCTGTTCAGGAACACATGGCCTTGGTGGGTTGGCATCTCGGAAGGTGGTCGGTTTGGTTTCAAGACTGACTTGTCGTAGATTGTACGGCGCATGGTATGGGCATGTGTGAACACCTCGAGCACCCAGGCTTGCAGCTTGACGATTCGGCGACGAATGCGCTGCTGCCGTCTTACTGTGCAAACCTCGCACGATCGACATACAGCATTCAGTTAACTTAAGCTGCTGCAATCTACTCGTTAATTTCACAGAACATGTGCTTTTATTTTTCCCGTTTTTGGCCAGCCGAGGTCTGGTCTGCCTGTGGAAGCGGCGATTGAGTGCCTTCTTCAAACAGAATCAGAAGTTGGTGCATGTTTGTGCAGGACTGTAGTAGTCCCCAACCCTTCCGCTTGTTGCCAAGGTTCATTGATGTGGTGGCTAGGAAGGCGATTGCTGTCGAAGACTGTTGGGTGGTGTGTTGTGGTCTTACGAAATGTCGCGAGCTTCTGCTTGGAAGACAGCCACTGGACATCTCAAAGATCCTTCGAATTATGTCCGATCCTGGGTCAACATGCGATGAGTCAGGGAAGCCATGCATGCCATTTTCGGCGGACAAGATAACTTCCGTCAACTTGGAAGGTCTGCGCGACCATTGCTAGAGGCTATGTTCCCCAGGCAGCGATGTCCGTACACGGAGGTTGTGCTTAGACTTGGGGGAAATGTGTGTTGCTGGAGGCCAAGCTGCCGTCGTGGCAAGGGCATGCGAGCTTCGAGGACAGTCTGCCACACTCCTAGGCTGGGTCGATGATGTCGTTGGTTTAAGTTTCGCCGTAGGCTCCACCACCTGCCAGCGCTGTGATGCTGGTTTTTGCCTCAGCACACAGAGTAGCGACATCGTGCTGGTTTCAGGAGATTCCATGCATTTGCCTCGGGACAGCACCGTTGTATTTTTTCATTTCCCGCTCCTTCCTGCCCTCGCAAAAAAAAAGGCCTGCTGCATACTGCCTGCGAAACTCTCCATGAGGTTTACATGAGTCCGTTCTGACCCCTGCGGAAACGAAGATTGGTGGATGCATGAGCGGTTGGTGGCGGAGTCGACAGAAGCAAGAGAACAGGAGTGAGAGCCCATGCGCTGAACCTATGTTCACCGTTTTCGTAAGTGACGTTTTCTCCTCGACTTGGCCTGAGGACATGGATATGGCAGCAGCGCAGCTACAGTCCACCGATAGCATGAGGAAAGCCGAGCAGGATCGGGTCATGTCGAAAACAAGGGCAACGGTGGAGTCTTTCGAACCGGGTCTCGAGGCTGGCATAGACCTCAACCAGGATGCTTTGAATGTGGGCCCCTTTGTACCGCGCTTTGCTTGCTTTCCTGCTGTGGTCAAAACGCTCACCAGCAGTGAGACAGGCTCTGTTGCGGCTGCCCACGCAGCATGCCTCACAGCTGCTTGAGCAGGTCGGCATGCAAGTGACTACGAAGCTCGGTCATGCACATGACAATGTGCCGAGGTTGTTGAGAAACAAGGAACCATAAGAGACTTGTCTGGACCTTGTGGGCGTTGCAACTCACACTTCCGTTGAGTGTAGCATAGTGTAGCGCACGTTTCTGGTTCAGTCGCAGGTCGAATTATGTCTGTGCAACTGTGGCGCGGGGTTTCCACCCAAAGGACAGGCCACTCATGCAAACATGCACACTTACATGCACGCACGGACGAGCATGCAAGAGCGTGGTGCGTGGAAGTTGCTGGAACCCTGACGCGGTCAGGAGTCCACGGGCACAGTTTGGTCAGGGTTGCTGCCGGCCCGGAGTTGTGGAGTACAGTGACTGCGGATGACTGCGGTGTATGGACTCGTCCACTCGTCGCTGAGGCCGAACCCCGGCCCTCGCGCTGAGACTGAAGTTCCAGGCCGGAGTTCAGCGAAATTCAGCGACGCGAGAGTGGCACAGGTCAGGTCGGGCCAGTCTCAGCGGATTGGCTTTGTTGCAGCTTGTTCTTGCAGGCGCCAAAGCGAATGGCAAGGGTCAGGGTCTCGCGGGGTCCCACATGTTTTTCAGAAGTGGGATTGGGAAGCATTGACAACTGCAGCACTCTTGTTGAAGTTTGCACCGCCCAGGTAAAGCCACCATGGAGAACAAAGGGATTGAGCTGGTACTCGGCCTGGTTGAGTGCGCACACGTGATTCTGTGCAGAAGAGGCTCCTGACATGTCTGTTTGAAGGCTCAGCAGACAACATGGCAACCTGTAGTCGGATTCTGTTTAAGTTAATAGTTCCAATAGAATTCAATAGAAGCGGCCCCGATTTATTGGAATCGCGCTTGTCTTGTGCTCCAAGCCCCGCACTCAGAATTGTGGTGCCGTGTGTTAGGTGGTTCAGCTGCTTGCTGGAGAGCATTCACCACATCACAACGGTTCCTTTGGCTCAAAGCAGACGCTCAACATGGATACGAGCTGAAACCGGCTCCAACAGGCAGCAGAATATAAATGAGAGAGGAATGTCAATGGATAGGAGCCACCAGCTTCAGAGCTCATGCTCGCAGGTATGGAAGATGAGGTTGCGAATGCAAAGTGGAATGTGTATACCCTACAGAGGAAACGGCATCAGTTGTTGCGGCAGCAGCCCACTACACGTCAGTCCATCACAGTCTTTGGCAGGACGCTTTCGGGGGACTTCCCTTTGTCTCCCTGCATCACCGCCGTGTTGTTCGATTCTTGCTTGCACTCGCTTGTGCCGAAAGCTAGCTTGGAAGATGTCTCGTGTTCGTACGCGTGCGAGAGCTCATCTGAGGATTTTCTTTTCTTCGGAATGATCGGTCTTGCCTGGGCAGTCACGCTGGTGACGCAGCCCACTTTCGTATATGACAACAACATTACGCGCCGCCCGACGAGTTCAAGTATAGGATGGGAGGGGGGCCATCAATTACGACCACATTCTAACCGCGATTCCGAGGAATGTTCAAATCATACAACGTTTGTATTGGCTTGGATTCCTGGCCAGCCCGGCCCGTTGCAGCTGCGGCCTTTACGTTGTGCGTGCCGGTGGCCAGTGCCTTAGGGCAGTGACTCCTCACCTCTTATGCCTCTGTGTCTATGTTGTGTTTGAGAAAGTTGCGACGACTGCCTGGTTACACCCCACTAGGAGCTGAGAGCTTTCCAGGTCTGCTTGACGGCAGCGCTGCATGCAACACGGCTGGATATGCAAATCCCATCCGCGTGGCGTGCAGCTGGCGTCTTGACTCGAGCTCTTGCTAGGCCTTCAAGGCGCACCATGACGACGGCGGGCTCAAACTTTTGAGAAAAGCATGTTTGCTAGCCACTTGCCAGCAGCATCTTCGGCAGGATTGGCGTATGCAGTAACATGATAAGGACCGACGCCACAGCCGTTGTCGCAGGTTGGGGCAGCTCTTGGCAATGCAGCAATGACCATCTGCATTGCTGTGCCGCCAGCCGCTTGGAGCTGTGAGCCAATCAGCTCGGTCATGGACCGCAGCAGTCAGACAGCAGTCGCCCAATTGTGATTTCGGTAAGCTAGCATTCTAGACGGTAACGACTTGCATGACATCTTTGTTTGGCGGGCTCAGCAGACGGACCTTTCATAGCGGATTCACACCCGAGGACGATTACATCAAATGCATGATACACACCCTGGGGTTCGCGTTTACTTTGTTTGGTCCGACTCTCAGACAGTGATAAGTTCGGCACTGGTGCCTCGCAGTGCATCGCTGGTCAGGCCAAGGCATCTTCAAGACAGGTCTGATCGTGGAGTACTGGCTTCTTTGCAAGAAGCACTGGCCGCTTGGAGTCTCAAATCGGCTAAGCGTGCATGGCCGCTAAGTTTTTCTCGTGTCCTGACTCAGGGATGCAGGAATCTGGAATAGAGACGCTCTGCTCAAAGTACTGGCCGTGATGTTCTTGTTCGAGCCATCTTTTCGGCAGACTGTGTATGAATGCTATTTGCAAGGCTTCGGCAGAGCTAATTCATGGCCCATCCCAGGTGTATTTCGTCACGCTGGTGTCGCATGCATGCGTACTTGTGATGGCGGTCGGCTTCCTGATCTACCTGCTGCAGTTGAAAGACTACCATCCCATTATTGCTAGGATACAAGGTTGGCTGGCACGACCTTTCAGAGCTAATGGCCACGGCACTGGTTGCTTGCTGACAGTCGTCTTGCGAACAGCTTCAGCAGGTGATCGCATACCTACCGTGTCAGAGGGTGGTGTCACGGTGGCGGGAGCCTGAGTTGGCTCTACAGTCCTTGACCGTCATGCAAGCATGAGACCAGCATGAGACCAGTCGCCGGCTTTCCGGCTGTTCTCTTTCACCGCTCGGCCATTGCTCTCTCAACTGACAGCCACAAAGGTTGGTGCTTGGAAGGGCAGTTTTCCTTTTACTTGGCCGGTGGCACATCTCGTCGAGCCTGATGCTCGCCTGCGAGCAGAGCTTTCACTGCCGCTGGTGCCGAGTGTTCCAAATCTTAAGTGGCATTCCCAAGCTCAGGATGGGTCAACAGTTCCCATCACGGCTGATGGTACTGGGAGCCATGGTGGCAAGGTAGGTGATGATCTTGTTCAGGTGGTTGGGATATCAATAGGAAGTGTGCCAGAATGCCAAAATCAGGAATTTCCTGATGTGTGTCACGTTCCTCGCTCCCATCATTGAGGCACCGACGGGCATGAAAGTTGACTTTGAACAAGCAAAAGTTCGTTTCCTAAGACAAGCTGAAGTTAAGAGCAGAAGTATTCAAGCAATCACAATGCATTTGGCGTTATTGTTCCTGAAAATACTTGACCGACATGTGGCAAGCTGAATTGCCAGGTCCTGACTGTTCCGCGCAAGCTGCTGTCTCCAGGAGTCAGCATTGCATATGCTCCCATGCGCAACTTAGATGTTTAATGCTCTGCCTTTTCGGCTGCTTCCCAATGTGAACCAGCTGAATGACACTGAATGACACAATGCTGCTGCCCTCTCGTGTCACCACATTAGTTCTGGCATGTGGCAGCCTGTTCCTCACAGGCGAGCACAGCCGTTTCCTAGAATGCAAGTACGACTCTACTCCGCACGGGGTGGTGCATTGTGCAGAGGAGGGGATCTGAAAAAGTTTGCAGCGGCCAGGGTCTGCTCGAAGCAGCAATGTCCTATGCAGCCTTCCCCAGGTGCGCCCATGTTCAATCGCCGCTTGCTCGGCCAAGGCAGCAGCGTGTCCATGGTACATCCTGCTTGTGTCCGCGCATTCCAGAAACGCCGCCTGCACCTTGGGATGGAACTTCTTGGCTCTGTTTGCACCAGTGTAGATGGGGTAGCTAGGCACAAAACTGAGTGGAGTCATGGGCCTCCTGAAGGTGGGAAAGCCTTTACATTGGAACGACTCCCTGGAGCATTGCCACTACATCCGTCGTCATGGGGTTCTTCAGTTCATGGCCACGTACAGACGCCTACGCCATTTGGCAAATGATCGCCTCTTCTATGGTGACGAGATCGAGTATGCCTTGTTGAAGATTGATTCTGCCAATAAGAGAGTGCAGTTGAGTTTGAGGGGACCTGAGGTCATGGAGGGCTTAAGGAAACAGGAGCAGGACATGAACGCTTTTCGAGGCTGTGCTTGGCATCAAGAGTACGGTAGCTGGATGCTCGAGGGTACTCCCAGCCTTCCATATGGCGGCTACACCATGAGCCTCGTGAGTGTCGAGCAGAATATGCGGCTTCGCCGGGGAAGGCTGCTCTCTGTGTTGCGGGAGGACGAGATTGCTCCGACGCTGGTGACCTTCCCTTTGATGGGCGTCGGAGACTTCGTGGATCCCTCAGCTCCACCAGGTGGCGAGGCATCGCAGTCGGAGTTCGTCCCGGATACTTGCATCAACCCACATCCAAGGTTTGCGACACTCACTGGCAACATCCGCCGACGAAGAGGCAGCAAGGTGGACATTCGTGTCCCGCTCTTCAAGGATGTGAACACGAAGGAGTTCGAAAAGGAGGCTGCGCCAGACATCCACATGGATTGCATGGCCTTCGGCATGGGCTGCTGCTGCCTTCAAGTCACATTTCAGGCCAGCGACATCGAGGAGTCGCGGCTTCTTTATGATCAGCTTGCGGTTCTCGCCCCAATCATGATGGCGCTCACAGCTGCAACGCCCGTAGTGAAGGGCCGACTCGCTGCCACTGACGTGCGGTGGAACATCATCAGCCAGTCGGTAGATGACCGCACACCGGCTGAGCGCGGCGAGGGCGAGTCCAAACCAGAGCCACGCATGGCAGGGGCTGGTACTCGCAGGCAAAGCAAGAGTCGGTATGACTCTATCTCCTGCTACATCCACCCCGGGTCAAAAGCTTACAACGATATCGCTTGTGAGATCGACGAAGAGACGGAGAAAATGCTGTATCAGGAAGGAGTTGATGAAGCACTGTCCAAGCATATCTCTCATCTCTTCACTCGCGATCCACTCGTGGTCTTCGACGGCCATGTGGAGCTGGATGATGACCAGTCAACCGATCATTTCGAGAGCATTCAATCGACGAACTGGCAGACGGTTCGGTGGAAGCCACCACCAATCCCAACCAATGCTTGCTCTCCTCACATTGGCTGGCGGACAGAGTTCCGGTCAATGGAGGTGCAGATGACAGATTTCGAGAATGCGGCTTTCACTGCCTTCATCGTCATCGTTACTCGAGCAATTCTTGTCTTTAACTTGACCCTGCTTTGCCCGTTGTCATTGGTAGATGAGAACATGAAGCGCGCTCACGGAGTTGATGCTGTCCGTCGAAGCAAGTTCTGGTTTCGGAAACACATTCTCCCCGACGACACCGACGAGGTGATGCAGCAGCTCTGTCCACAGCAAGGGCCCAAGGTAGAATCCAAGTCTAGCTTCGAAGAGATGACCATGGACGAGATCATGAACGGCAAGAGCTGCTACTTCCCCGGACTCGTGCCCTTGTGTTATGCCTACTTGGAGCACATAGGTTGTGACGAGAATTCATTCAAGAGGTTGGACCAGTACTTGAAACTCATCAAAGACAGGGCAACTGGAGAGCTGATGACTCCCGCGACTTGGATGCGAAGTTTCGTTCACGCCCACAAAGATTACAAAATGGATTCTGTGGTCTCCGAGACCATCGCTTACGATCTCGTCTATGCTTGCAGTGATATCGGTCTAGGGAAGCGGCCTTGCCCCGAGCTGCTTGGAGAGGTCCTTATCGAGCCGGTCTTGAAGGAGGGCCAGTACGAGACCCCACTCTTCGGGGAGAAGCTTGGCCCAGAAGATCGACGAGGCCTGCTTCAGAAGATCATGTCCCGAGCTGCCCAATGTGATGGGACGTTTTCTGCTCCTTCCAGTGCTCATATGCGGCGCCAGAGTAGCGGCGCAGTTTCCGGCCTGGATGCGGTAAGCAGACAGGGCAGCATAGAAATTCGAGAACACGGAGGCTACGTCGGCTAGGCCTCTGCCTCTTCATCTCTTCATCCAAAAACCAACACGCAATCTAACTCCGAACCCGGAGGTGGATTCGACTTGGGTGGCATAAGTTCATCGATTGGAGCACCAGACATCTCCATGCCCTGAAATGGATTGCTTCAATGTTGCCTTTAGCAGAGTTTGCAGGCTGTGCCAGGTCTGTGAAGGTTTTCTCTCACTGAGCTTGTTTGGATATCGCACGTGGTGTGTCGTTCCCAGAATTCCCAGAAGGCACTGGTCGATCCTTCGGACTCGAGGCCCGCACGTTGCTGAGCTTGGGCGCTGTCTTGCCGTGTTGTAAGCTGGAAATGAGGGGTTGCGTGTTGCAAGCCCATCTTTCATCTTTAAACCTGCAGCCTTTGCTTTTGCCAGCAGCTTCTGAAAGAAACCATGGCGCCAAAGCCAAAGCCGCGGTGCTTGGTCATCGGCGACTCGGCTTTGAGGATCTCTTCAGCTGATGTTGACGTTACCGGTGGTCAGACAGGCCATAGCGCAATAGCTGCTGACAGACGGAAGCAAGAGAAGCTTCCGAAGTTTTCATGTCTGAAGGCCCTCTGCTCAGGTTCGCAGTTCACCGGAACTTTCTGTGCGCGGGAGCTCAAGAAGAAGTTCTATGTCACTGTGGTTGACGCCAAGGAGTATTTCGAGTATACGCCAGGCCGCATGGGCCGCATTTCCCCTTTCGCATGCGCACTCCCGCCCGTGGACTGAAGGAATATGCCGTCACATGCTACAGTGATATGTCTGTCATGTTTATATGTGTTGTGTTTGAGCTTCCTCAGGCGTTCTGCGGGCCTTCGTGAAGCCGGCGCACTGGGACTCCCTGACTTTCACCCTGCAGCCGGTGTTGGAGCGCAAGATGGGGGTAAAGTACATCTGGGGAGAGGTTGGGAGCTAGGGCCGCTAGGGCCGCTAGGGTGTGTGATACTTGGAATGCTTCGAGGCCATTCTTGTGCAGCTTGCATTCTGTGACCACTCTGTAGGTGAAGGAGTTGAACGGTGAGAAGAAGACTGCTAGCATCAAGACCATGAGCTCGAACAGCGTGGATGAGATTAGCTTTGACTACTGCCTCATCTGCTCGGGCTGCAACTTTGGACCCTTCAAGCCCATGGGCGAGAGCTTGTGGTTCCCGACGGTTCATGAGGAGGGTAGGGCAATAAGTGATTGGAAGCACATCGATGAGCGCTTTCTGGAAGGCCGCCGTCGCCACGTCATAGAAGAGTACCACAAGCTGCAGGATCTGAATAAGAAGAAGGCCACCATATTGGTCGTGGGTGCCGGGTTTATTGGAGTGGAATGGGCAACAGAGCTCGAACACTTCTTCCCAGATCTGAAGCTGACCATCATCGACTTCCTGCCTCGCTGCCTTGGGCCACTGCCGGACAGTGCGGCAACGTATTGCTCGGAATATATGAATGCTTGTGGAATCAAGGAGTTCTATGGCAGCAATTATGGCTATGACCCCAAGAGTCCAGACTTCTGGAAGAAAATCGAGCTACCAAACGGTGCCGATGAAACCTACGTCTGCATTGGTGTGAAGGCCTCCAACTACTTCATGCCTAAATCCACGCTGTCAGACAAGGGCCCCGGTGGAGGTGGTTGGATCCATTTCAACAAGCACCTGCAGGTCACAAAGAAGCCCAGCGAGGGTGGTGGCGTGTGGGCTGATGGCACAATTTTCGCGATTGGGGACTGCAACTACGGCTGCATCGGCGAGCCAGGCAAGTGGGAGATGCCGCCGGTCCCCAAGATTTCGTACCCAGGCGAGGAGCAGGCGTATCATGCGTGCAAGAACGTGATGAAGCTCCAGAGTGGCAGCAAGAATTTGATCTCAACCTGGTGGCCTTGGGGTGCCGGCATGTTTTCAACAAGCCTGGGCCCTCATGATGCTTGCTTTGTGATGGCTGCGAACGAGAACAAAGGTTCGGGGTACATGGTGAATTGGTGGATCCCTGCAGCCCTGCAGAAGGAGATCATTGAAGCAACGAAAGTTGATGAGTGCAAGGACGGTTGGGTGGGTATCCTCGTATGGCACTTTGTGCACCATATGCCTGTAAATCTCTGGGGCCGCGGCCCTTGGTTTGTTTAAAGGGGGGCAGTTGCATGCCTCAGGCATGGGAATCGCGCCCAAGTTTTTCGTTCTTCACGCTGTAGGCTTGCAGGCGTTTGTGAGCAGAGCTTGTCGTTCACCGCATGCGAGGGACATAAAGGAGAGCCTGCGTTCTGCGACGCGTTGCTTTTCGATGGTGAAGAAGCGATGATTGAGCTGTGGAAGCAGACCTGATTCACAGCTCACCTCTGCACATTAGGACCGTTAGCAGAAGAAGCCATGCCAGGTGAGTCATGTTTCGGTCAAGAAGTTAGTCATAGCAACTGCAACGTGCGCAGCGTAATTAGTTTGCCTGGGTGGGTGGGGGTGGGCCTAGGCCCTAGGCACATCATTGCAATTTCAAAGAGGTGGTGCCTGCACAGTACGTCACAACACGTCGATGGAACCTTCGGTGGCTGCGGTGCCTGTAGCTGAAGATGCCGGGCTTCCTGAAGGCGTGTGGAAGGAAACTCTTTCTGAGGCCGATTGCGTCGCCCGACCAAAAGCTGGTGATGAGGTCCATATCCATTTCAGAGGATGGTTGCCAGACGGCACGGAGTTTCACAACACTTACCGTCAGTCCGGTGATTTTCAATTCACGCTCGGCGAGGGCGAGATCAACAGGGGCCTTGATCTTGGAATTGCAACCATGTGCAAAGGGGAGCGGGCAAAATTTACTGTAGGTCCAGAGTTCGCATACGGAGACGGCGTTCCTGGCAAAATTCCGCCACAGGCAACTCTAACATTTGAGGTGGAGCTGCTGTGGTGGAGAAGGACGAACTCCCTGACTTCTGACGGAGGTGTGGTGAAGGTGGTTCAGGTAGAGGGTACCGGCTTCAAGAAACCATATCCCGGGTGGACGATCAAACTGCGGTACACCGGATATGTTGAAGGGGCCGAATATACGAGAAGTCCGGCAGATGGAGTTGAAGCCAGCGTTTCAGGGCCGAGCCCGCTGGACCTGCCGGAGAAAACCTGGCAGCTTGTTGTGATGTCCATGTCGCAGTATGAGAAGGCCACCGTCACATTGACACCGCAGTATGGCTACGACGGTTGCAGTAGAGCGTTCGACTCCACGGTGCCGCGCGACTCCACGGTGACGCTGGAGCTGGAATTGTTGGATGTGTTCCTCGTGAAGGACTGTGGTTTTTTCCAGAGATGTGGAGAGAAAAACTTTCCACGGGTGATCAAGAGGCAGCAGATGGATGGTGATGCGTCCAAGAAGCCAAACAACCTGTCCCAGATCTCGGCAGTCGTCAACGGCACCTTGGCAGGCACTGGCCTCCTAGTTGAGGCATATGAATCCCCAACCTGTCACGAGGCAAGCAGGTGATGTGGGAATTGATTGCTGGAAAACGCTGTGAAGCCGTGGAATGTGCTGTGCTGAGCATGTCCAAAGGCGAGAGGCGGCTTGCTTCAAGAGACTGCGCGATAAATTCTCTTGAAATGAGATTTTTCAACGGGATTCTTCCAGGTATAATTCAGGGATAAGGTGCCTTTGAATCTGGATGTGTTGTGACGGAGGTGTGTCGTTGTGGCAGAGGATCCGGCGATGTGTCAAGACGACGAGCTGGGCCTTTGTCCCAGTAGCGGCCCAGTGGAAATCGAAGTTGAATTAACCGACTTCCAGAGGACAGCTCGTGCTGGGCGATGTGGCAGCTTCACAGAAGCCATCGACAGCATGGCAATACTTATAAGTACACTCCAGCAGTTGTGAGTTTGCAAGCGCACCTCCTCTTCCTGGCCCCGGTGAGGACTCCGGACACTTGGGACCTCTTGCCAATGCAGAGAGTCGAGAAGGGCAGACAGCTGAAACAAAAGGGCGCGGACTTCATGAAAGCCAAGGACTTTCGACGTGCTTGCTGGGTGTACCTGGACCGCAGGTTTCACACTTGCTTAGCGGCTTAGCGGCTTAGCGTGTTGGTTTGGACCTAACTGAGGTACAGGTCCGTGCAGGACATGATGGGCTACGTGGACGATTGGCCAGAGGACACTACAACTTCACACAACAACGCATCCTGAGTCAGCTCCATATCCTCGAGGAGCTACGTTCAGCTGGAGAGGAGCTTCGCCAGACCAGTCGCAGCAACGAAGTCATGGCTTGGCTGAAGCTTGAACAGTTCCGCGACGTAGTGGACCTCTGTACTGCCACCTGTCTGCAGGAATGCTCAGTGCATCGCTGCACACGTAGATATTTCCCAGTGGCGATTGTAACATGCACTGGATGGCTGAGTACTGTAAGCACCTCTATGATGCGAACCATGTCTCACCGAGGAGATTCTCAACGGAGGCAGGACAGTTTCTGAAGCATGAAATGGAGCAATTCGCTAAGCACAGTATTCGATGGGCCGCTCTGGGCTTGTAGAGCATGAGGCGGAATCAGTTCGCCAGATCCCGGCAACGTCAAGGCACTGTTTCGGCGAGGTGTTGCGTGGCTTGTCACGTCTAGACTCAAAATAGTCGAGGCGCTTCTAGGGCTTTGCCACGGCCCAGGTACGTCAGCCTTGGAGAGCCAGAGAAGGCAAAGCGTGACTTCCTTTCTGTGCTGGCGCTGGGCTGAGTCAGCATGGACTATGTGAACTCCCATCTAGTGCGCACTTTGCACTGCAAAGTGCTGCCTTATCCTGTTAGGAGCACGACCCACAAAACGCAGAAGCGAGTCTCGGCTTAGTATGGCTTGGTGCTTGCGGCTTGCGCGTGTGTGGCTTTGTCGAGGAAGCAGCAGCTCGCCAGGGCTCGCTCCTCTGAGAAGGACCAGGCGAAGAAAAGCCAGAGCTTGCTGAGAGGAATGATCAGCACGGAGCTGAGACACGGAAGTTCCGACAGGCTTTTCTGCTGTCCCGGCGCAGCCTAGGTGAGGCTGGGAAGCTGGACTATCCCGTGGGCTACACCACTGCGGAAGGAGATCGGGAAAGACAGCGTGACGCGATGTTGGACAAAGTCGACCAGATCAAAGCACAAATGCCTCTCACATTGTAGCGATGCGGCGGGCACGTTCTGGGACGACAGCTGCGCCGACGGATGAGTTCAACAGATCTTGTAGGATTCGCAGGGCATTCGAGCACAAGTCCCCCTCGGAGACACACTCATCGACGACATCAGATCCAGCTTCGTCTCCACTTGTACGACGCATCAACTGTTTCAAGCACACCCTGCCTCGATCGTGTGCAAGGAAAATGTGCTTTGGGAACAAAACTCTCGTTCTCAAGCAAGGAAAGCCAGCTCGCCCAGAGTCTGCAAGAGTTTCGTATGGATTCCCAAGAATCCCGAGTGCCACCCGAGCTTCGTGTGTGGCCAGGCCATCAAGAACGGAAGCAGCTTTTCGATTTCAACGATGCCATCAGATGGCGAGCAGGACCCTGTACCCGTGATTGAACACTGTAACACTGATACTGGATAGTGCTTGCAAATTGGCTCTGATGCTGTCGCCGGCCGGTCTCGCACGCCAGTCGCAGAATCTGTGTCGAAGTCAAGGCGCTAATCGGGCTCAAAGTGTTGAGAAGCTTTCAGCTCGGCAAGCCTCGGCAACGTGTCACCAGAGGAATGTTGTAGTGACGTGCTTTAGCACAATGTTTCTCGTAGCATGATCTGATCGTCGAGAATGCTGTTCAAGGTCAGCCCAACTGCCACAGACTCACTGGAAGCATGGCATGGATGGCGGGAGGGCTGCAGCCCACTGGAAGCGATGCATCAGACCGTTGCAGGCCCTCGAGGAATGCATTTGCCATGGTTTACCCTAGCGTGATCGTCGAAACTTGTTTTTGCAACCAAAACTTTCAAAAGTTGCTCTGCAAGAACACACATCCTGATGCGGTTTTGAGAATTGAGAGGTGCTGGAACTGGTCCTGGAGACGCCGAACCACTCGTCTTGGGCTGGCCTTCCTGCAGAAAGGCTGGTCTCCGCTGCTCATGCCGTGGCCCGATGGCATAGGTATGCGAGGCGGACCGACACGGCCAGGGATCCAGAATGGCTGAAGTTGGCCTCGCTGATTTCGGAGCGTCGAACAGAGCTGCAACCAAGCAACCTGGCAGCAGCTGCTCGGCTGGAAGCTGGAGGGAATCGGCTGCTCAAGCGAAGATGTGGCCTTGAAATTGAGTTCACCTTGCCGAGGCTTGTTGGTCCTTTGCCGCCACCACGGGAGTACTTAAGCCTTCGCTCATGGAGGCCGCCCTCGACCAAGCGGACAAACACTCTGCAGCGGACCTTGGGCGACTTGCCTGGGCTGCTGCGCAGCTTTCAGATGCCTCTGCAGCCAGGAATGCCATCCATCGCATTCTCGAGGTGATGGTGCAGAGAATCCGGGAGCCTCAAGTAGGAATACTCGAAACTTCGCAGGTGCTTTGGTCCATGGCCCGAGTGGCTGTGAGAGATGCCTTCGCTGCGGTGTCAGCCTTGAGGCTTAAGGCCATCCATGAGCTTCCGACCTGTGACAGCCGGCACCTGGCCAACCTGGCCTGGAGCTTCGTGAAATTGAGCTGTGCAGATGGACCTCTCCTGAAGCATGTCGCTACTCATGCACAGGGACGTGCTCATCATTTCGGTCCGCAAGAGCTCTCCAACACCCTTTGGGCTTTTGCAGCCGCACCGCCGGCAGCACAGGTCCAGGCGTTCCGGGACGACGCTGCCAGCCGCGCAGTGCAGGAGCTCTTTGCGAGTGCAGGAGGTATCCAGCAGTCCTTGAGCGGCCAGCACCTGGCGAACATCTTCTGGGCTGCTGCCAGGCTGGGGCCTGTCCTGGAGCATCTGGAGGCCGGACATGGGCCGACCGGGCCGTGGATGACGCGGACTCGGCCGGGTTTCTCTTTGGGAGCCGCGGCACGGCGGCGCGTGGCGGAGCTGGCGCCCCAGCACCTAGCCGCGGTTGTCTGGGCCTGTGCGGCGGCCGGCGGCGCATCGATCCAAAGCAAGCGATCTGGAGGCCACCGGGATCCGGAGCTGCTGGCTGCGCTCGAGGTCCAGATTGTTTGCAGAATGAGCGCAGCTCGGCTCTGTTTTGGGAGGGTCTTGACTCAGTCTTGACAACAGCTTGTTGTTAAATTGTGCCTGGTTTAGGAGATGTCCCCACGAGCGCTGGCCAATATTTTATGGGGGTTTGCGACTTTGGAGTTCTCTGGAAGCCCACCTGCCCGCGCAGAGCTCTGTGCAGCTGCCGTGTCCCAAAGCCCGGAGATGTCTGTTCAAGAGCTCTCCATCACCGCGTGGTCGCTCGGAAGCCTTCGAGCAGTGGGCCACCTGAAGGACCTGGCAGCTGTGCTGCGGACGCGAGGCTTGGTGCCCGGTCTGCTGGCTGCCAATGAGATTGCCAACCTGGTTTGGGGCCTTAGTCATGCACAGCTTCGCGAGTCCGTTCCTGCCGGAGTCCTGGCGATCGTTCAGGATTGCATTCAGGAGCTGGCCGAGGCGACAGACACTTCGTCGATCGACCTCCGTGCTCTTGCCATGCTGGCTCGTGGCCTACTCAAGCTCCGCCTCCACGACGAGTTTGGTACCCTCTTGGACCAGGCGCTCCTGAGCATACCCGAACTCGGCCCGGAATCTGGCCCGTATTTCTGAATGCCATGTGCGGTCTGGTGAAAATCTTTTGGTGGTAACTCCTGAGCAGATGCAGCAAGCAAAAACACGCAGCATAAAGCCTTAGAAGTCTGTTGGGGAGTGCGCTTGTCTGGGGTCTGAGTGGAGTTTGTTTGGAATAAGCTTGGGATCCGACTGCAATCTTCGAGTCGGTTTAGGGTCAGTTACTGTGCCGAAGCGGACCCAACATCGACCCAACGGACCCACCACATCACCACGATCCAACACAGTTTCTTTACTGTAGTCCCACCGAATCACCCGGCACGTAAGAGGTGGGTTTAGGGAATATGGGAGCCCTTGTCATGCACAGAGGAATTGGCCAGCGTTTTCCTGACTGGTGCAGCGGAGCTGGGCGCTCGCCGAGAGATGTGCGAGCGCCGCATCTGGGCACACCTGGGCCTCGAAGGACATGTGCGGTGGCCTTCAAGGGCCTCGCGTGAGGCAGAGTTGCTCAACTTTGTGAAGCGCTTTGCTGCTAAAGGCAACGCGGAAGCCGTCCTCTCCGCGGTGGAGGCTTTCTGCGAAAGAAGAAAACTGTGGCTCAAAGTGGCTGGTGGTGACAAGGCGCAGGTGCTGGAGCAGGTGGCGGAGACCTTGCGGCCGAAATCGGTCTTGGAGGTTGGCTGCTATGTGGGCTTCTCAGCCATTCGTCTGGGAGCTGCGGTGCGGAGGTGGCATGGCCGAGTCATCAGTCTGGAAATGGATCCTGTTTTCGCTTTCATAGCGCGAGAAATGGTGGCTCATGCCGGTCTCGAGGAAGTTGTGGACGTGCGACTTGGACATAGCGAGCTCTGCCTCGACAAGCTCGACGTGGAGTCGTTTGATGTGGTGTTTTTCGACCAACGCGGGTCCCGCTTCCTGGAAGACCTGAAGCAGCTGGAGAAGTGTGATGCACTGAGAAGGTTCGCCGTTGTGGTCGCTGACAACGTTCTGAAGCCGGGTGCGCCCAGCTTCCTGTGGCATGTGTGCTCCCGGCATTCCAAACAGTGGAGGACAGTTCTGGTAGAACTCCAGGACTTTGGCACTTGCGGCGTGCCGGATTGGATGTCGGTGTCCCAGAGGGCGGCGGAAAAGGCTGAGGAGGCTGACAGCGTACCTCCGGACGAGATCCAGCACTTGGCATGGCAGGCAGATGAGATGCGTTGGAGATCTCCGGCTGCCTTAAAGCTAGTGGCACTGGCCGCCAGGGTAAATTTGCATCCTAGAGTCCTAGAGAGTGGAAAAAGCGCTTCTAGTGTCCAGCTTCCGGCCAATGAGAGTCTCAACTTAGTCTTTATTGTCTTCATTGATACTGACTGGGAGGGACATCCCGCCCTGTCTGCGGACTGGTGGTTTCGTCTGAGCAGCCGGCTTTGCGCATGGCGTGCCAAGGAAGTATCGACTACGACATAACGCCTCAAGAGTGGACGGAGTTTGCCAAGTACATGAAGACATCCTTGATCGCCGCCGCTCGGTTAAAATGCTGCGGATGCTATTAGGGAGGCTGTGCTTTCTTTGTGTCTGCAAGGCCGGGCTGGATGCTGAGCTGTGTGAGCTGTCTGCTTTGCAAAGCTGGCTGGAAGCCCCGGCGCAGGAAGCAGGTAGTGCCGACAGAGATGCCGGCCAATGGGGTGTGGCAGATTGACTTTCGCAGGGGAAAAAAGGCATTCTTGTGGCTTTTTGAGTTTCTTGGGGTTCAGCAGTGTTTGTCGTTGTACCTGTGGGATGTCATTGCAGGACGCCCGCCCCGCTCTCCGTCATCGAGCATGCTGCGCATTCTGCTGCGAGAGAGAGAGAAAAGCGCCTCCTTTGGGCAGAGAGTAGCGAGCAGACGTCCGCGCGATGGGAAGGGGGAAGGGGCGGGGGAGGGGGGGGAAAGGGGCCGTTTCTGCCATGGCATGCCATGGCCATGGACGTGGCAATGCCGTGGCAGGTCCCTCCGGACGTTACTCTGATGGAACGGGCAGTGCTGGATCTCAACCAGCGGGAGCGAATGAATCTCGAAGTGGGGCACGGGGTGATACCAAAGTTTTGTGAGGACTTGTGGAACGGCCAGAACCTTGATGCCAATTCATTGCTGGCACTACGGTGCCTCTCGCAGGACATTCATAGGCCCACGTGTTGTTTCCCGAAAATATCAGCCCTGCAGGAGCAAGCAATGGACCTCCTGGGGTCTTTATATTCCAAAGGCTTCGAGCCATGACCGGCGTTCTTAGCGCCAACCAGTTACTGCTCAGCCTTGCCGACCAGGCACCGGCAAAGGTGGAGTTGGAACCCCAGCTGCTGCGCAACACGCAGGTTATGTGCAAGAGAGACGCTCGGATAGAAGTCAAGTCTCAAGAGGTGAGCATCGCCAATCCCAACAACTATCTTCAGGCTGCTGCAACACTTGTCGGTGAGTGTTTCCTTTCGTGTTTTTTCTGCAGGCAGCTATTGCCAAGATTGTGCGGACGGGCCCAAAACTCGGAGTTGCCCCGAATCGCCAAAGCTTGCCACACCTCTTTGAGCAGCTGAGGAATGTCCAGCGGCATGAACTTCACCGGAAACCAGACGAGGCGATGACGTGCCGAAGAGCGCCAAGAGACCGAGCGTCCGAAGCGGTGCGAACGGCTTCAGGCAGAAGGCCGCCGAGCTCGGGCTTTCCCTGGAGGAGTGTTGGGATGCCCTCCGTGCAGCGAGCAGCTCGCCAGTGACTCTTCTGTAGGATCTGACGCTTAAAGCGCTGGCTCGCCTTCCCCTTCGCTCCTCCCTGAAGCTGCTGGAGTCGGCAGCTGCAGCATCTGTGCTGCATCGATGTTGTCGACACGGGGTCAAGCTCCGACTGCATGTTTTGGCAAGGCTCAGATGGGAGGAGCGGATCCCAACGCGGTAATCATTGCGGAGGCCTGCACACTTCGGCACGATTATGCGAAGTTCGGTTAGGGTAAACTCGAGAACTCTATCCGACTCTATCCTGGTTTAGATTTGTCCGGTTTGCACTGTTCTTCTTAAATGACTTTCAGATCAACAAATGTCTTCTGCAAACTTCGGAGGGCTTGGCTGTTGGCGTGGCTTAGTTCAGCATCCAATTTTAAGTTTGGAGTGTCCCATTTGTATCGGACTTGAACAATTTCTCGATGCCGATTGTGTGTTGGGTTGGTGCACAGAGACCCTGCACTCCTATGTGTGCGGCGATTCTGTTTACCATGGAAAGTTTGAGACGGTCAGCCTTGCCTTTCAGCTCCCCGACCAGCACCCTCAGAATGCTTGTCAGATCTTGTCAGCCACAATTGAACAGGCACATGATGCGATGGTTGCTAACTTGCAGTCGGGAGAAAGCCTTAACTTGCACACATATCGTCTGCAAGCCATGGGGGTCGACCCCTCATCAGTTTAGGACAGATGTCTTGGCATAGACGAGGGGTCCTCAGAACTATTGCAGCCACCGGTGTTGCGGGCTGGCCATGCTGTTTTGGACATAAGCCCCAACAAGTCTCTCCCGTTTAGTTCGTTGTGCCTTGTGCAATTGCTGCTGCTTACTATGTGCGTGACAGGCCTCCATGCTCGAGGCACAGGCGCGCCTGTGTTGTGAGGTGATGTCTAGCCTTAGAAAGCAGCCGTGGCACGACAGTTGTCTTGTGACCTTGTGACAGGACATCTCGCGAAAGAGGCCGCGTGATGCTATATGATTAGTTCGGCAGCACGACCAAAAAGCGGTGCAAGCATGTATGTGATCTGCACTTTTGCGAGCTGCTTTGTCGTGCATGCTCTTGTGGATTATCTTGCGCTGCGGCCTTTCAAGGCGACCTAAGAAAGCATGATAAGCCGACAAAATTGTAGAAGCTGCTAGTTAAACGAAGCATCTGAAGCGAGTGTAGCAGAGCGAAGGGCGTTGCCGTCTCGCACAGCTTGCTCAAAATTGTGCTTTAATCGGTGGGACAAATGTCTCCGGTGCCTTCGATGGAGCGATCGCTCGTGCGGCTCATTGGCCCAGTTCTCAGTTCTGGTGCTTCTTGCCAAACTTGCTCCTTAAGTTAGGGGAATGTCGTGGGAATTGTGTTTCTGAGGACGGCCAGGGGACGTGCTGCATTCTGAGCCGAGACACGTTTATCCCATGCCGGCCATACTGTTAGTGAATCACAGTGAACCTCTTCAAGGCCCGTGGCAAAGCATGTCTTGGCGAGAGCAGAGGTGCAAAGCTGTGCATCCTTGGGGGATGACAAATGGCTGAAACATGTTGAGGCAAAGGCAAGTGGGCATGTCTGGGGCAATACACTTGTAGGCTTTCGAATGCCGTTGAACATCAGAGAACCACAGCGCGATCATGATCCGAGTTGCAAACGAGCAAGTATGTGCTGCAGGCTCGACACCTGCAGCGAATGAGCGACCCACTCATGTTCGAGCCTCTGTTGTACACGGTTGATGCTTGTTCCAGTTACCGCAGCACTATGTGCACAGTGCCTAGTCTGGGAAACTTTGAGGTGCCAGGAGCAAACTGCGATTGCGCAAACCTTCAATGAAGAGCGGTTTCAGGCTCCTGCTGCTGATAGAATGCATGTCGCCAGCAAAGCCTCGCTTGCGCCATAGGAGTGGGAGGACAGACTGAAACATGAGCGCGCCAGGGCGAAGGCCAGAGTGGTTTTGCACCATGCCAGAAAGTACTCGTCTTCACATGTTGTTGTCGCCATGGTGAGACTTTGACATTCGAGGGTGCGTGTATCGGTTTGGAAGTGTCTCGCACGTCACATGTGAAGGTTGACGAGCAGAAGCAGATCATTGTTGCGAATCGCCGAGCTTCGGTCAAGCGGGCAGCCATTTTGCGAGTGGAATTCCCGTCTGCTTGGTGATTCACTCATCCTGAGTCTAAGGCAGCAGACATCGCTCAGGCAGTGGTCTTTGCAGACGAGGCGGGAGCAAGGAAACCACTCGCCCGGCGCGTGACATACCAGGGGGGGGGGGGGGGGGGGGAGGCGCCGTTTCTCTTCCGCTTGCAGCCGGCACCTCTGAACATCCGTCGCGGCTTCCTAGCCGATTGCAGATGGAGTGCTTCTTGAAAGCCATCCGTGCCGCAGAATGTCCAAGCATACTTGTCAGGAAAGTTATGGGCCGCACAAGTCGAGGTCGCGGCCTCAGCATGTCAATCTGCGGTTCGGTGGTGAGTGTTCTCATAGCGCAGTCGGGGTCAAGGCAAAGGTCTCAAGATCCTGGTTTCGGTGCCAGTGCTAGGAGTGACCTTTCGCGGCTCTGACGCAGCTCAGGCAGCTCCAGGAGCAGAAGCCGAGGCGGACATCCGAGTCATCCGAGTTCGGAAGCGCATGGACCTTCGCTTTCAGGAGGTGACAACGGGAGCACGTCAGATGGAAGTAGCGACAGCGAGGCGAGGCTACAGAGACGCCTTGCTGGTCCTTGTTTCCGGAGCTCAGGCCGAGTCCTACTCTGTCTCCAGCAGCCAGGATGGGATGTTGGGCCATGACAGTCTCAAGAGGTTCAGGTTGAAGGGCTGATGCTGATGGCCTCGGGGCCTCGGCCTAGGAGGCTGGTCGGTTCTCTTTGGATCACAACACTTACAGGCGATGTCCTTCTGGCCCAGGATTGAAGGCAGAAGACAGTAGTGACACTCTTCACAAAGGGTCGCAGCTTTCCTTCCAGATGAGCTGCTGATGACGTGGGCTCTTTCGGCGATGGATAGGTTCCATTGCACTTTGCCGGGCAGAGCACCTGACGTGCAGCCGCTGCGGCACAATGTTGAGGTGGTTGAACCTTATCTGGATCTGGAGGGTGCTGGCAGATGAGGCGCCCGACCCCGTCCGGAAAGACTTGCAGGGCTTCTGCCCCTACCTGCACGAGCTGCCTGCAGCATTTACCACCTTCTGGCATCAGCTTCACGGGGCAGCCCTTCTGGTCGAGCACCCGGGCCGCAAGCTGAAGTTCACCCCAGCACCAGTCACAGTCACCAAGGCAGCGTGTTCAACTGGAGGAAACATCTCGGGAGGGCACCGCCAGAGGGCTTTGCCTGCAGCTGGCCTTGTTTCGTCAAGTGGTCTCGGGAACAGCCGGCCTTCCTTTCCCGTTGCCCGGCTCGGAAAATGTGGCTTCGGCACGGCTTTGCTGTTGTGGCTGATTTTCTCGTGGCTTCGGAAAGTCACCGCCCAGGCAAGCGGCGAACAGCTGCCCAACTTTGATTTCTAGCTACTTCGAATGGGCGAGCGAGCTGGCAACCGTGCAGCCACAAGATGGGCAAGGTTCAGAGTATACTCAATGTTCAGGGCTGGCCCAGGATAGCAGTAAAGATTGAGGCAGTGCAGGCTGGACAGCCGCGGCGCGGGCGTGCGTTGTTGCAGCTTGGGGCGCCGATCCGCACCATGGCCCTCTCGCGAGCACTCTTCCGGCATCCCGGCTAAATCCAGCTTCTGTTAGTCTGCTACACTTCCTACAGTTTCTCGGCTGAAGACCATGTCATGGCTTCAGAGGCCGGATGAGACAAGGGCAGGAAAGGAAGCTCAGAGACCTCACTGCAAAAGCATCATTTTGCTTTCGAGACTTTGTGTAGCCATGTCGTTTGCTTGGCGCTGAAGATTCGGGGTCCGGGGGGGTCCGGAGCCAGGAGGGCAGTCACGGGAGGAGGGAGAAAATCAGACAGCGGTTCCTCTGACTTGCGAGCGCAGGAGTACACTTTCCGCGAAGTATGCTTCGAAGCTCCGCGATCTACACATGAAGTATGGTCTGGAAGAGAAAGAGTGGCAAATCGTCGACACAGACCATCAGAACTGGGTGGCTGTACACTCCCTCTGTGACTCGAACTTTGCCGGGGGAAATTTGGAAAACGTGACTTCTGGCATAACCGAGCGCAATCACAAGTCTTATGCTGAGAGGTGGGGTTATGAGTACACCATGCATACGCAAACTCCCTTGGCAGAACAGGAGCCCCAGTTCGGAAAGCTTCAGATTGCGATCGATGTGCTCAGTAGCGAGAAGCCTCCGGACTGGTTCCTGTGGCTAGACTGCGATGCTTTGGTGACAAACCGCTCGATCTCTGTGGAGTCCTTGCTCCGGACTTATCAGCTCTCCGAAAAAGACTTCGTGGTGGCGGAGGAGGTCTCCGGCATCAACTCCGGCGTGTTTCTGGTAAGAGGCGGCGCAGAAAGGCGAGGCCTACGCTTTCTGGAAGAGGCTATGCAAAGCGACTGGCGCTTCGTCTGGGACCAGACCATGCTTCTACGGCAGATGGCGCAAGAGTCAGACCTCTTCGGTGCTACGATGTGCTCTGACTTTGCAGAGGACTTCCGCTGGGCACCTCACTTCGGCCTGGTGCCTCAGCATGCACAGGCCTCAGTTGTCTTTCTGTGCAAAATCTGCAGAAAAGACTTCTGATGTCTCTGTTGTGTGCTTTTTCAGCACGGAATGTAGTGTGCGGAGGCCATGAATCTGTACGGCGAAGGCTCTGCGCTGCAATGGGGCGCTTCTGCTTGGAAGCCGGGGGATTTCATCTTGCATTTGGCCGGATGCCCATTGACAGAATCCGAATGCCACGGAACCTTCGAGGAAACCGCAGCTTGGGCGGAAGCGCACAACTAGACTCTGACTTTGAATTGGCTGCGTCGCGAGCCTGCGGCCTGCCGCAGTGCTGATCCCGAGCTGTGCAGAAAAGGCCTGAACCGACAAGACCTTGAGCAGCTCACGTGACAAAATGGCCTCGACTCGATTCTTTTCTAAGGGAGCCTGGAAAATTCGATAGGACTCAAAGGGCCCATGCTGGCAGGAGCCGGCTTGCATGCTGTGTGTGGAGGAGAAGGCGGAGAAGGCCCGGCACAAGTGACTTGTAGCTGAGACGAGAAGCTCTCTTGCAGATTGCTGTCGGCTGCCGCAGCTTGAGGATCTGAACCGCGGTAGGCATTTCAAACGGTATTTCGTCATGCATGAGTGCCTTGAGCTCAACACGTCGATTACTGTATAGAGCACCTGAGGCAAGAGGACCTGCTTAGATCTACAGCCAAGATTTCGAAAGTTGTGCAAGCATCGGATGGATTATTGCCGCCGTGACCACGAGACGGCAGAAGCCCATGCAGCCCGGCTGCTGGAAATCTTGCAAAAGCGTGATGCAGAGATGGAGGCGATGGAGCTGCAAACAGCCGACGTGAAAGATGGTGAGGATGGCCAGGGCCAAGGCCAGGGCGAAGGCCATGGCCTGGAGCAAGTCGAAGCCATGCTGGTTGCAGAGTCTGAGGAGCGACAGAACCCCATGGTTCTGGAGCTCTTGAAGGATCTGCAAAAATGTGCGGTGTATACAGACACGCCAAACCATGAGACGAACCGTAAGCTTTGGGATGCCTATGCCCATTCTTGGAGTTCGGACGTGGCGTGGGTGCAGCGCATGTCAAGCCATGTCTCCAGAGAAGCGGGTGCCTTGAAGTTCGTAGGAGATGAGTGGTCGGACGTTGAGTCTCTCGATGCCGTGCTGAGTGACTGGCTCTACCCACACCTGGAAGAAGAGCAAAAGCTCAAGACGGTCGCCGAGGTTGGGAGCGGCGGCGGGCGCATTGCCGCGAGGGTGGCTCCCAAGGTCGAACGCTTGGTGTGCTTTGACGTGAGTGAGGGCATGCTGGCACGTGCTAGTAGCAGAATTGCTGAACTTGGGCATCGACATGTGGAGTTCCGGCTGGTTCATGGCGGTGCCCCTTACCCGGAGGAGTATCATACATCTTTCGACTTTGTGTACTCCTTTGATGTCTTCGTCCACATGGACCTGCACCAGATGAGACAAACCCTGCATTGTATCCGGGCCATTTTGCGGCCAGGAGGATTTTGCTTCATCTCATTCGCTAACTTGCTGGCACCTGACGGTTGGCAACGATTTGCCAAGCAACAGAAATACAGTGTGGGAGGCTTCTATTTCGTCTCCCCAGATATCGTACGTTGCTTGTTGACACATGCAGGCTTCAGCCTGGTGAGAATGTCGAAGCCGCAGGCAGGAAACACATACTTAAATCGGGATCTGCTTGTGCTTGCCCGTAAAGCTTGAACGGACATGGGTGCTTTGCCAGAGCAGAAAAAAGCGTCAGCTGCGCGGCCAGTTTGTGCGAACGGCTCGTGTCATGCATGGCGAGAGACATGACCAGTCAGTATGTCATGATTAAGCGGCAGTCTGTAAGGCCGGTGCAGAGCTTTCTGGCCGCGACAAAGCCCTGGATGAAAGCGCGAAGCAGGAAGCGCTGCAAGCGCACTTGAGCTGCTCATCCGCACCTGGGCCATGTTTAACCCCCCCATTGCCGGTTATCGGTTGTTCTGAGGATGGCTGGAAGAGAGCCGCGCAAAGCTGCAGGAGAAGCTGAAGGCTCACACAGAGCAAGAGTTGGCTGCTCCCGCCTCGGGGGGCTGGTTGTGCTGGCCGCTGTGCTCGATTTTCCTCTTTCAAGCGGTTGCATCACATGTGCCGGCTGAGGAGAAAGATCCCCCGATGGAGGATGGTCCACCTGACATAACACCCGTATACATTTAACGGTCCCAGCCGTGCACGTTCAGATCGTGAGAAGGTCATCGAGCACCCAGTGTAAACAGCGTAAGCCCTCCGTTTCCTTTGCAGATGTTCGCGCGTTTTCGTGTGCACGGCAATGTCCACTTTTCCAGCCGCCTCTTCGTGGCCTGGCTGTTGTACAAAGCCCCTCGTCCCCTCAACAGCTACTGGGCTGCTATGCCTTCCGCAGTGGCCGAAGTTTGGCCACCTGCTTTAAAGCAAAGGTTTTAGGTGCTGCCAGTCCCGAGACTGCTGTGTGGCAATCACAAGCTGCTGTGGTCCGGGACCTGTCTGTGCATGCGCTGCTCTTTCAGCAAGATCTCTTTTGAGCGACTGCGCGACTGCGCTCCGGGCCTTGACGGTTCGAGCCAAGTTTCAGCATGCCTGCCAAGTCTATAAAGTCCATGAGATGCGGAGCCGTGGCTGCAGCGACCTCAGCTGCAGGGAGGAATCAGGAATCTTCGGCAGACACATGTCTCACACCAACACAAATCCCAAATCCTCCAACAAGATATTTGGCATGCATCGCGATTGTCTAGGTGGTGGCTCTGCTTCGTGCAGCCGAAGTTGTGGCCTCAGTCACCTCGGTTCTGCCGTTTTTTAGTGGAAGGTAGGGGAGCATCATGCCATGTAGAAGCATTGCACGCCAGACATCGTCATGGCTTGATGTCGCCAGGCTTCGGCCCAAGTGGAGGTGTAGGTCGTAGCGTCGTAGATATCTGGGCACTCCCTGCACGCCGGTGTCAGACATGTTCTGCGCCTGCTGTCAAACCGAAAGTACCCCCAAAGCTGCTCGGTCGCACTGTCTCAAAGAAGCCTGATCAGGGGTTCGTTTTGTGCGTGCTGCTGAACATGTCAGGTTGTAGAAACCGTGGGTATCCCACTGAGTGTGAACACGGATGACGCTGCTGCTGCTGCTGTCTGTGCCTGAGTTTGTAGCGGCACACCTTGGCATTGCTTGCTGCATTCCGTACTCTCGTCAAGGCACGTGAGAAGTTAAGTCGATCCGCAGCCTTCTTTGCTTGCAGGCGGCAACTGTCGAAGATGAGGCTCCCATGGATTTCGCAGTGTTTGTTGCAAGTGCTGCTTTCGAACTCCGAGATGTCAATGTGGGACTCCGTTGTGCCCAGCTGCTTCGTGGATGCATGTTTTGGCATGTCAAACTTCTGCAGGGTGCCGTGTTCACATTCGAGTTGCCGGACAAATCGACCAAGGCAAGTCACAGAGAAGTAGCAGGTCTTAAAAAGGCCCTGCGCATCGGTGCGCTGGTCGGTTGTGCTTTGAGCTTTGGGTGGACGTGGGTCTGACCTGCGACGCTTCCAGTGAGCCTGGTTGGGGGTGGCTTTTGATCTGGAGAACCTCGAGTTCTGCATGCTTGCCAGGAGATCTTTTTTCCGTCCAAACCTTTGGGCCTGGATTTCAGCAAGTCCATTCCGATGACTGTGAAAGGTGTGAAGAAGGACCGTGCTGGTGCCGTGTTTCTGGAGGTTTGAATTCTCCAGCCGCTTTTCGAAATTCTGAGCCTTCCTGCATCCTTGTAATGTTTCTGTAGTATGCTGTTGATGGTCTGGTGGAAGCCTGGGCTCATCTGTCATTACTACCATCGACGGATATCCTTTGTGCTGATACTGCAAACCTGCCAATGCTACGCCGATTCGGCAAATTATCCAGATCATCTAAACAATCTGCGCACTTGCCGAACGTGAGCCAGCAACATGGAGGAACAAGACATACATTACTGTGGAAGTACTCCGAAGATCCGGCATTAGCATTGCTACAGTACTTGTACCCCGGGGCCTAATGTTCGCTTTTGCCAGGTGGGCTCGTGCTGGAAAGGGTATGGGGAACCCCCGAAGCGGCACTAAGAGTCCTGGATGACTCGAGGAGCACCCCCCTTTCCCCCGCCTGGTGGCATGTCCGGGTGTTGGGGTTTAGGGCTTATAAGGTTTATAGGGTTGTTGTCTCTAGTCTTAGATGTTCGGGTATTGGGGTTTTGGGGTGGGCGAAAGTGTCGCATCTTATCTGCGTTCATGCTCTGGCAGTTAGCGACTCTCTGGGGACGCCGCCCTCGTTACAGTACAGTCTCCTTGTATGGAAGTAGCGTACCTGCTGCCGAGACCACTGGAAATAACTTGCCTCTGCTACTGTCCCCATCAACTGCTCGATTTCTGGTGGATTCCAATACTGCTACTTCTGAGCGACATTTTCTCTACCGTTGTGCGTGCGGTACTGGTTAATCCCCTACTTCAGGTATCATCAGGGCAGGTATTTAGTACGCAGGCACTTCCTAGTGCCACAAAGACATGGCTGACTTTGGTGCAAGTTCCTTCTACCCTCCATTGCTACATTGTACTGTTGGATGAAGGCGGTCGTACAGTATGTATGTAATGTATTGTGTTCCCTCGTGACATGTGCGAGTGTCAACAGGCAGCGTCGCTTGTTGGATTGCGGTCAGGCAATGCTGCAGGCGAGAATATTGATGTATTCTGACCTTTTGCCTCTGGTGTAAGGTGCTCGGGCTTGCCTCTCCGATTGGCTTCGGCTTCTGCCTGTATTTCGCTTGTGACGCATTCCTATTCAAGTGAGCTTGCCATTATCTAGGCGCGGAAATTGCAACTCGGACACATGTCAATGTGTTGACGTTGCTACTGCTTCTTGATCAGATCCTGTTCTTGCTATGGCGTCTTATCATTATCAAGTGGCAGTCTTTCCTGTTTGGTTGCTCCTTTTGGTTGCGTGTTCGCCCTCGATGCTGGAGCAACGGTGCTCCCTCTTCATGCGGCGCACGCCTAGGGTCGCCCCGGTGCGAGCCCTCTGTACCTGGAGCATTGCTCCCTGGGCACTGGCCGAACTCCTCGCCCCCTTGGTTTGCTTATGGAAGTTGTATATGCCGAATTATCTGACCGATCTTATCTTTATTGTAATGTTTTGCCTGTTGACGTCGTGAGGCTCACTTCTTCCTCTGGCAGACATGCGATTCTGACTGTGTCTTGCGGTTCTCTGACATCCGTTTACGCAGGCTTGTGACCATAGCTTCCTCGCGGTTTTTCTGATGAAAGTGGTTTCCATATGGTGTCATGTGTTCTGGAAAATTTCTACATGCTCCACTTTCACCCACCCTCTACTTACTTCCTTGTAAGCTTGGCTTTGTTCGGGCTAGGGTTTTGCTCTCGTTTGTTTAGCCCCGTCTGACATACTGAGGATGAATGCTGAGCCTTTCTAAGCCATCGTTGCCTTTCCACGTTTCTCAAAGGCAAATTCTCGTTACGATGTGTCACCAAAACAATGTTTTTGCAGAGCAGTACTAGAAGTGCGCATGACCAAGTGTCATGAAGTCCGTGCCATTTGCGAAGCTTTCAGCGGGCATGCCGGGATGGGCCGGGAGGTACCGAGCACCACGGAGCATTCGCCTGTTCCCTTTTGCGGTGCGTGCAGGTGCTGCAACAATCATGGTTCAACCCACTCATGTTTTCATCTGCGGTCTAATCCATGACCGAGTTCCTAAACAGCAACAAAAGTCGCAGCCTTCTTTTGGGGGTACCACGGCAGGCTATCTGTGCACCAGGTGCTACCTCGCAGTAGTTCTGGCTGACATGAGCGTCAAGATATTTGAAGACGTTGACAGGATGATGCTGGTGACGGTGCGGTTATTGATGATTCTATATGCTTGCCTTGCTTGCCCCGCATGGTGCCATGACGTTTACGGAGCACTGTGCCCCACTTGCGTCTTAGCCCTCACGGGTGGAGAGGAGACAACGTGGGTGCCCGTCCCCTTGCCAGGGGTCGACTTCTCTCTCTCACTCTCTCTCTTTCTCTCTCTCTACAGCACTGGTAGTTACAGTGAGTGAGATGCTACTTATACGGTACATACCATCAACAAGCAGTGACAAGTGCTGAAGAAGCGAGAGGGAGAGTGACGTCGGAACCTTAGTCGACCTTGGTCTGTCACACTCCTGTCTCTACCAGGAGCCTCGAACCTGTAGCTTGTTTTGTCGGGGCCACCTTGTGAGCCCGCCATGCACCCTGCCGTAGATTCGTCCCCCGTCGGTTCTCTTCCATTGCAGGGTGCAATCACACTGTCGTTACCCGGGGCGGAGCACACCCCTAATCTTGTGGTTCGAAATAGTTGGAGTTTTGCGGATAGCCTGGCAGTGGCGAATATTGCAAAGACAACAGATGCTCCCAATGCCCTGCGAAAGAAAGAATGCGCAACAAAGCGAGCAGAGAACGACGCATTGGGCAGCTATGTGCAGATGTACCACATCAAAACCGGCAGTAGTAAAGTTTAAAGTCTAAGGTCACAGTAGGCATAGTAGTCCGCCGAATCATAGCAGTCCACCAAGCCATAGAAGTCATAGAACAGAAGACGGCGTGGTGATGGTAGGGATCATAGGAGAGATGCTTAGAGACTTCACCGCGAAGGACTCTCATGCCGACCAAGCGAACATCCAGCCGAAGTGGGTGGTGACTCATGTTCAGGGGCAGCCATTGCCGACGGAGTCACCTGACGCTTTGGTAGAACTCTGGCACTGCAGATCGTGCAGGCACTGATTGATAGATTGACCGGTGGGCTATCACCGCCGCCAACCGAAGATCGTTGAATTCCCGCTAAGGTTTCACGATGCTATGATGCGAATCTTCGAGGTTGTCAGAGCGCTTCCGGATAAGTGATCTTAGATCTTCCGGACTTTGTGAGGGAGCCAATGGCGAATTGCCATGTTCACCATAAACCGTAGTCTAGCATGCTCTAAGAGCAGCTGGACTATTTCATGATGAGCTTTTCGAGTCACCCATGTTTTGCAAGCGCGTTCCACAGACTCAAGCCGGGGATCCCTTCTTGAACATCTGTTCCGCAACTGCATGTTACGATTGCTTAGCCATGGTTGCAGAGCAAATACGGTGCGCTGGAAAAACATGGTGAGTGCTAGACGCAGATGGTAGATGGCCCTTGAAGGGACGAGTATAGGGACTTGGCCACAGAGCTCATCCTCATGGCGGGTTCTCTGTTCAGATTTCGTGACCAATCGAACTGCCAGAAAAAAGCTGGTAGAAGGGTTCTAACCTGCCGGGCGATGTAGGACTTAGAAGGCCAGTCGCGGTGCGATTGTGTCAGGTCGTGGCCTTTGAGCCTTTCGACGTGCTGCAGGTCTCTGCGCCATAGAATCAAACTAGTCTGCGTTGGAAGGGGACCGGAGGTGTGGAGTAGATTTGCCACCAGGCCATCAAGAGCGACGTCTTCCCTGACGTCTTACCCTTCTTGGAGGTGGCATCTTTCATGCTGTAAGCGTCCGTTTCATGGACGGGGTGTGCACTGTCCGGAGGAGAAGCGAGTCCTGTTTGCGGATGGTTTGGATCAGAATTTGCTGCCTCGAGACGGTCGGGCGATGTATACTCTAAGTCCAGGCAAACCAGCAGCTCTTGTCAATGCTCGCATGGCCCCGGAGGTTTGGAGGACGTGCTTGCCAGCCCAATCGTGCCTTTCGATGATGTTGCTGAAGGACGTCTTGCAGAGACTGCCAAGCCCAGGGCGGCTTATTGCATTTATTGTGACAGGAGATCGCCTTGAAGTGATTGTAAACGGCTCCGAAGACATTCGTCGAAGCTCCACTTGGGAACCGTGTGTGGTCCTTGCTCACAACCTGCAGACCGTTTCTCGGCAGACAACTGGCCGTCGTCATGGCACTGAGACACACGCACTCGCCTTGTGCCTCGTAAGCGCTGAAGCCAAGGGCATCTTGGATTTGGAACTGACAGCTCCAAGCCCACGTGCTGGCCAGCATGTAAGGCCGCAGGCCAAGTCTAGCCTGGCCTTTCTCGTTGAAATTTTTTAGCCCATTCCACGTCTGAGGCAAAGCTGGGGTCTGGCGAGACGGTACCCGTGGCGCTACGACTCTCTGCTGTGATAGGATTATGATTAGTTACTACGGCCGTAGTGAAGGGAGAATTCCACATAGCCAGGTCCGCTAGATGCAGGACATGACAGCAGACGGAAGCTGTGCTGGGAGCCAGCGCATCATGCCAATGCATGGCCAAGGTCACGGTAAAGGCGAATGACACGATCTTCGTTGGAACTGCCAGCGGCTGGCAGCCAGCGAAAGTCCTTAGCAAAGCTCCCGAAGATGATACCCTCGACCTGGCCTTCCCCAGCGGAGCCTCGCCCCGGGTCGGTCTGTGCAGTAGTGACAATGGTAATATTCGTTGTCATTGTAGCAGCAACAGCAATAGCAACGGTAATGGTAGTAGTGCATGCTTTCCTGTTTTCTTGGTGTTGGTGCTCATGCTGCAAACACACGTTTACAAATAAGGAGCGAAGCTGCAATCCGTGCGGCCGCGCATTCGACACATGCAAGATCAGGCTACGCGCTTTGATCAAGGCCGGGGGGCCGGAGGTATATTTCCAGTCGGGCTATGTGCCGGGCCGGATTTATTGGGACAATATACCTAGAATGCCACCGTATGTTTTTTTTTGATTGCCCATGTGGCCTGGGCAGTACCTCACGTCGAGTGAAGGGTGCGTGTCGTGTGTTAGCTTCCAGGTGACTCGTACAGCGACGTGGCAGAAGGCGAACGCATCAAGGTGGACACCTCGCGTGGTTGGGAGATTGCCTCCGTCGTGAAAAAACATGAAGGATATGAAGGCACCAAGTCCCTGGACATTGAAATGTTCCCGGACGGGGAAAGATTTGAAAGCTGCAAGCCCCTTATCCGAAAGCCCAAGACCAAAGCAAATGAGACTGCGTTGGCACTTTGGGCAGAGAATCAGCGGCTGCGAAGACGAATAGCCATATTGTCGAGCCTGAGAGCAATCTTCACCTCGACGGCTCTTGTAGCTTGCGCAGCACTGGAAGAAGGTTTGGCCTTTGTGAGGTTTGAGACCGCTTTCTGCCTCGGGGCCCTGCCAAGGCGAAAGTGGCCTGGTATATCGCACGCCACCATATCGATGAGTATGTGACTTGCTCTGGAGCCCTTGTGATGCGCTGCGTTGTGCGACGCTGCATGCAGCGCCTGCAGCATGAGACACGCGTAGACCTGCTGAGGTACAAGAATACAAGCACAATGGAATCCCGGATGATCCAGACTTTCGTGAAAACATGCGGCTTTGGGGCCTGTCGTAGGCAAGGAGGACACATGGCACTTAGCTGAGCTTTGGTGCACACGAAAAGAGGTGGAAATCCGGTGCGATGTGTCCAACTGCATGCATCTTAATGATGGAGACATCATTCCCTGCATTGTAGGTTTCCGCAAGGCATTTCCAGCATGTGGTCGGGGAATCTAGACAGAAGGATGGTCGCCAAGCAAAGACACGTTGGCAGCCTCCCATGATCAGTGCAAAATGTGCCACATCATGTGATGAATACTTCGACATCGGTAGACAAGAATCCGTAGGATCGCGCTTCAGCATTCTCCATTGCTCATTGGACCGCCGCGGCTGCACAGCACCGCATCTTGAGCATGAGGCTAGTGGTTTGCGTCATCTCGCTTGCATGTGAATCTGTGAAAGATCGCGAAAGGCCGCATCCTCCGCCTGGGTCGAATCGTTCTCAGCAACGCAGAGGGTCAGCTGTGACCATTGCCAGACCATTGCAAATCCAGAGTTGCACCAGCCAGCAGAAATACTTTGTGTCGCAGCGTGCTTGTTCTTTGTTCGCAGCTTATTGTCTGGCTCGGAGCTGAGCTGGGATGTAGCGCCAGCGCCGTGGTTGCCCCGACTGCAGCGGCAAAGCCCCGAGCTTATTTTTGAGCCTTACAATCATGGCTTCAGGCTTACACAGGCTTACATCTTGCATTCGGAATGCCCAGTAACTTGGCTGAGGTCATGCAGGTTTTGGTGGACCACTGCTTGGGCCTTCCAGAAGATGCCATCGTCTCCGTTCGCTGTGGCGGGATGCGCCGGCAGGCTCCGCTTGAGACGCTCGTCACGCAGCCACTGAAGTTTCCTGCAACGCTGGATGGGGTGTCGGAGCCGTTGAAGATTGACGTGCTGCAGCCTATTGCTACAACGCGGTTGGTTCTGCATCCACACGAAGAGCTCTACAGTATCGGCTTCGAGGAGTCCACCGAGATGGTGATTGGCCTCAGAATGCAGTCACAGGGCAATGGTTCGGTCCCTTCTGGCCAGGAAAGCACGGGACCTAATTTCAAGGATGCCGCTGCGTCAGCAAAGGATTACCTGGAGCAGCACGGCCTCTTGAGGTATGTGCAATCCTTGCTTCATGCGGTCATCCAAGTAAGACCCCGCGATCCCTATGCTTACATGATCGAGCAGCTCAGTGCCGCTCAGAGTAAGACCCGAACACTGGAGAAGCTCGTGTCCAGGCCGAGCAGTGCTCTTCCCGAAAGGGCGAGGACGCCCGTCCCACCGCGAGAGCCTCCGCCCAGCTGTTCGCCCACAAGGCCTCGGCCTCCCACGGAGCTCCTGCACGTGGGACCCGTGGGACCGGCTCCCAAGGAGCCTCCCGAGAGCGCCCCGTTGACGGCCTCCACTCGGGCCGGGGCCGAGTCCGAAGAGGGGCACAGCCGCCCCCCGATCCGGTTGCCGGAAGAGGCGCCGTTGCCGCCTTTGCCGCCTTTGCCCTTGCCCAGCCTGCCAACGGCTTCAGAGGATCTGCGGCTTCTCCTGAAAAACAAGCTGGAGGAAGCTTACAATTCTGGGAGGCTGGAAGACGTGGTGGCAAACGCTGTAGGATCACCTCCTCAGGCCACAGCACCCGAGCCAGCTGAAGCCAAGGAGGCAGAGGTCCGAGGAGTCCAAGACTTAGAAGGAAGCTCGGGCCCGACCCGAGAACTCGATGCCTTCTGTTGTCTGAAGGGCAACTTGAAATCAGTCTTTTTCGATGCCATGGACACAGGTGCACTGCAGAACACGCTCACCGCTGTCGCGGAAAGCCAAAAGACTCTAAAGATCAGCGAAGACCTCGACAAAGTCGCAGCCCTTAAGACGAAGCTGCGGGAACACCTGCAGGAAGCTGTCTCATCCGGTGCTTTGGGACCGGTGCTGCAATCTTATGCAAAGCCACTCCCGGCCCCACAGAAGCAGCCCCAAGAGGAGAGCGTGCAGGATTTGAGGCAGAAGATGAGAGAGCTCCTGCAGGAGAGCCTCTCCACTGGCAGCCTGCAAGAGGCGCTGGACCATCTCTCCCTGACGAAGCAACTCCCGGAGCCCGTTGCAACCTCGCAGAGTGCGAGTGCAAAGAAGGCAGGCGACGACAGGACGCGGAAGGCACGGGAGGAAGAGAAAGTCAGAGGCGACATCTTCCAGCTCAAGGCTCAGATGCTCGCGCGTGCAGAGACGGCCCTGGACTCCGGTGAGCTGGCGGGCATTCTGCAAAGCCTCCGAAAGGACCAGCCCAGCCAAGCCAGGAACGCAGCAGACCAGGTACACGGCAAGACAGGTTCAAGTTCACAAAAGACGGAGGTGGACAAGGCCACCGATTCCTGCAACGATCTCTTCACGCTCAAAGTCCAGGTACTTGCGCAAACAGAGGCGGCCCTGGATTCCGGCGAGCTGGAGGGCATCCTGGAAAGCCTCCGGCAGCCTACCGCGAAGCAGAAGCCCAGCTCCAGCGCCCCACAAAAAGCCCAAGTGGATCAAGATAAGGGAAAGCTCACACATGATGAGGCAAATTCAGGTGCACGGGGAAAAGGCAAGGAGACGAAGACAGAGCAGCAAGAGAAAGAGGGAAGAGACCAGGACTCCCGCAACGACCTCTTCCAGCTGAAGGCTCAGCTGCTCGCGCGGGCAGAGACGGCCGTGGATTCCGGTGAGCTGGCGGGCATCCTGCAAAGCCTCCGAAATGGAGACCAAAACCAGGGCGAGCCGGGCGAGCCGGGCGAGCTGGCGGTGATCAAGAAGAAGCTTCGAGGCCTCCTGGAGGATGCGGCAGAGTCTGGCCGGCTTCAGGGAACCCTGCAGCATCTGCAATTGGGCGAAGAACCCCGAAGCGGCACTGACGTGTTGGACCTGAAGTCACTGCACGCCGAACTGACAGTGATGAAGCAGGAAAAGGTAACATTAAGCCAAACAGTGAATCAGCTCACAGCTGAGATGGACGTGCCTGGCTCAGTCGCTGCCTTCCAGGCAAATGCACCATTGTTTTTGGCATTGTCAGCTGTCAGCAGCCACCTTGTTTCTGTGTTGGATGTTCTGGCTAGCACTTTTTGCCAGCTGGGGGAGTTGCTGGGTGGGGTTTGGTGGCCGGAGCCCAGCAGGTTCCGACTTTTTTCATGCGCGGTAGCATGTTTTGACCATGGATATGGAAGGTGCTCAAGAAAGAGAACGACGACCTTGCCAGAATGCTGAGCGGCCTGATGAAGGAATGAAGCCTGCAGAGCTGTCAGGCTGAGTGCACTTGGTCACCTGATGTGCAAAGACCCGTGGGTGGCAGAATTTGGTACCATGCTTCTTCCGTTTCACATTAGCTGAGAGGCTGAAGCTTCGGGCCAGTTTGTTTCTGCTCAACTGCGGGACAGACTCCAAAAACCGTGAAAGCATGAAGTGATCTTCGATTCAGAAACAAGCATGCGTGATTCTGAGGATGCCGCCGCCGATGAGGCCGGTAACGATTCGATTGGGTTCACCAGACTGGCACCTTGGCGCAGGGTCGGCCCTCACATGCCGCCGTGGGAAGCAGGGCCGCCGCTGGGGCCCGGTCGATGTGGACCCGGAGACCGTGGAGATCCGTGGCACTGGGGACCAGGCCCAGGCCTGCTGCTGCCTGCTGCTGTTGGCCTCAGAGACGCGCTCTCTCTCTGCCTATACTATGGTGCTGCAGGAGGGAATCCCCATGCCATGGGCCAGTGCCACCCTTGTACTGCACGAGCGCAGGATAAGGCACTGCCGCTACTGTATCACATCTCAGGTATCCCCCGCCCTTTCCATGTCCTGGTCCAGAGTGGGGCCGGACGCCTAAAAAGGGCGGTATGCAGACACCATGCCCAAGCAATGCGTGGCCTTGGGTGAACGAGGACATCGGGCCCCACCCGATGAGCACTGTGCTCAGACAAGGCAATGCATGCGCGAAGCGAAATGGAACGCTCCACGAGGATGATGCGGGCACGGCCTATGGGTCCACCCGGTCCACATGATTTCGGGCCAGGAGGCTGCGCCGAAGACGCAGAGGGAACTTCTTACGAGCATGTGCAATCCAGTCGAGCCCCAGAGAGGCCCGCCGTGGCATGGGTTTCCGACTCAGCCTGCCTAGATGGCGAGTTTTTGATGGCTAAGCCGGAGCCCAGCAGAGGCATCCTCCGCCCATGGGTCCGCCGGGACCAGGCCGGTGTCGAGCGTATGCCCAGTGACATACGACAGGATGACACGCGCTTACGAAATCGTACTGTGCCGCCAGTTTTAAGGGGGAGCCGTGCGAATGTGTCATCTGCAATGCGCACTTTTTGTGGCACATGCTGTGCCGCCTCAATGGCGAGCTTCACGGACGCTTTGCGGTGGGAAGTGTGGCAAAGCATTTAACACTTTATAAACTCTAAGATTTAGCTGGACCAGCGTTGAAATTTAGAAAAGCTTGTAAAATTCTAACGCCCATATCATAAATTTGTAAGAATCTATAAAATTTAAAACCAATGGCTTGATCCATCTAAATTTTAAAGGTTGAGGGCATTGACATTTTGGCAATTCTTAAAATGTACATGGTTTCAACCGCTTAAGCCAGGCCCTTGGTTTTGGAAACATCAAACAGCATGTAAAAATTCAAAACCCTTAGAATCTTTAAAAATTATTAAAGTGGCCAGCATTTCCATTTTTTTCAAATCTGAATTCCCATAAATTTGTAAAAAATCTAAGGGCCTGACCCATTTAAATGTTTAAAATACACAATTTTATGAGCATTAACATTGTCGAACATTTTAAATTTAAAAGCTGGCCCATGTCAATCTTAAAGAATGTCAAAGACTTGAACTTTTAAATGTCTTTGCAATTTTCCAAACCCAACGGCCTAACCCATTTAGATTTTGAAGGTTTTAAAAGTTTTTGGGCAAAACATTTTACAAGGTTGCAACATTGAAAATGCTGGTCCATGTGCATTTAAGGTTTTTCAAATGTTAATTGTCCTTACATTTTCCAATGCCACGGCCTGACCCATTTAACTTTAAAAGTTGCAAGAAAATTATGAGCATTAAACTGTTTTTTAACAAAAAATTGAGTTTAAATGGCCAGCTATTCCAGTACAAATCTCTGTGGCAAGGATTCATAACAACCAAGCCGAATGCCAAACAGAGCATGAAGGTCCTACGTACTTTGGGGTAAACGCCTCCGCCGACCATGGTGCGCCTCAAACATGCCCCTTCTCATGCTGGCCCTGTGGGGTGTGGGGGATGGCACAAGGCATGAGTCGCATGTGTGAGTAGTTGAACATCACATGCAAAAAGTGGCACCGTTACGACCTTCAGTACAGCGCCGGAAGCGCGAATATACATCGAAGTTTGTTTACCTCTGTTTCCGAGAACAAAGTCAAAACACGGAGAGGCAATTGATATGAAAAGCGGGATTTCGACACGAAATCGGAGGGTTGATACAAAATCGAGAAAACACATCAAATGTTGTTGTGTTTCAAAAACGTCCGTATATATTTCCGTATGTTGTTGCTTGATTGTTTCTCAAATGGAGGAGTATATCAGCAAGACATGTCGGCGCGACATGCTGCGTTTCGACAAACCTCTCTCTCTTTCTCTCGGTAGCGTAAAGCGAGTTCATGTGCAGGGTACGTGTAGACTTTCAACGCTTGATCCGTTGCGCGTCTTTGGCACTAGCTTTCCTCGGTTTGGGTGAGCTGTCACAGACCCAGGCACATTCAGGATTGCGGCAGGGCATTTGGAAGGATGGCCAGGTGAGCGCAGGTTGTTCTCCACGAGCTTCAGCCGGCGTCAAAAGACTCGTAGTGGAAAGTGCGTTTGCGTGACATGGACCTGACAGGCTGCTCTCCTGGCTGGGCTCCTGACGGGCGGAGAACTGAGCGAAAGCCGGAGCGTATAGAGGCGCTCCATCTCGTGCTCCGCTTGAGGCCGGACAGGATGGGGCGGATGGGGATGGATGCAGGCAAGGCTGGCACTCAGGGAGAGGCCGTGACCGCGTGGTGCGCCCTGAGGTCGACCTCCTTGGGACCGATCTGAGAGGCTCCAAGCTGGCAGGAAAAGAGAGAGTTGCTGGGACGGGTGATTTTCGGTCCAGGCCGATGCCGATGATGGGGGGTCCAGGCCCCCGTCCTCATGCCCCAGGCGGTCCGGGTGGGCAATGGCACGGGCCTTTGAATCTTCTCCTTCACACGCAAAGCTTCTTGAGATGCCGTGCTGAGGCAAGGGCCAGCGATGTACCCTCCCGATGCAGGAGAGCTACACGCGAGAATGGAGCACCGCGGCAGAGATGCAGCTGCGAGGACCTGAGGCCTTTCGACCCTGGCCACAGGGTGACGCAAACAGGCCATCTGGTGGCTTGAAGGTGTCAACAAAGTCAGGAGCATTGTGTCTGCAGGCCGATGATGGCCGGCCCGCCGGATGGTCTAGGTGCCTTCTCTTCCTTTCGTAGATGGGCATTCAGGCAGAGAAGTGCCTTTTTCTGTGGAAGGCTACCACATGCCATTGGGGCCCGACGGGATGCCAAGACCGCCTGCAGGCCCAAACTCGCATGTGCGCCGTACGCCGTGCAGAGAAGGGTTTCAGCTAGGCCCAGGCTGTCCTGGTCCTTGGGACGCGTGCAAGCCTCGGGTGGAGACGCAGCAGCCCAGCCTTCCATGGGCGCCCATGCGCCGTGAGAGGCCACTGCGCCCTCTTGCTCCAGGAGAAGGCTCAATGAAGGATTAAAGATGCTTGAAGCCCGGGCACTCGTGCTGCAAGGTGTTTGGTCTCCCAGACAGGGTTCGATGCCACGGGATCCTATGCTGAACCGTTCCCTGCCAGCAGAAGTGGACGTTTTCTTTTTATATTCCGCCTCTGTTGAGTCGCCAGGGCCAGGGCCCTTGGAGATGAGTTCGAGGTTGGGTCAGAAGCAACAAGCGCGCGGGGGGCCGGGGCTGAGTTCAAAAATCCGCCGACGCCGAGGTCGCCTCTTGGGACGGCGCCGGGGCCTTTTGGACCTCTTGGGCCTCTTGGGCTCGGGCCGCCACTCCCAGGGCCAGCTCCTTCCCAGGCAGCGATTCTGTCTCTGTCACAGGCACAGTCGGCACAGTATCCCTGCTTCTTGCAGGCACATGGTCAGCCTCAGCTCCAACCACGCTTCGGACCTGATGGGCAGGAGATTATCGAGAAGCCACCATCTCATCCCCAACCAGGCCTCGGCATCTCAAGCAGAGGGTACGGAGTCAGATGGTTCCTCAGCAGGTGCTCCAGTCTGGGCGGCAATGCCTGTAGTGCCCAGGCAGGGGCAGAGCTGCACACCATGCCGCCCACGGCCCACGTGTCCAGCTCTCGTGCTGTGAGGCTCGCGCTCGAAGCCTCCATTCCAAATGCCCCCATTCGACACACGGTTGTTCATGCCGCGTTCCCTCCTCAATTCTTTCAGCTCGCGGGCACGCGGGCATGGTCCACGTGGCCAAAACTTCTATAGATTCTAGGACAGTGGAAGCTGGCGGCCTGCAGAAGCCTCAACCAGCCGCCGCCGCAGCGCGAGTGGCAGAAGCCGTGGCCCGACTGGGGAGAGGGGTGCATCGCCTTTGTGCGCTCAGGTGCCAGTTGCTGGGGCTCAAGAGCAGCTACAGGAGCCAGTGGAGTCAGGCCCGGGGAAAAGTCGTTCTTCTGAAGAGCCCGCCTTCATAACCATCGCTTGACACAGGAATGCCAGAGCAAAAGGGGCCAGAGTGGGCTGGGTGGCTGACTTTGAGCTTGGCATTTGTGTGGCGAGTTTAGTCGGCAGTGGCCCTCGAACGCCCAGGTGCGACCAGTCACCAGCAAAATCGACCAGCTCGTCCCGTGAAGGAGGTATTAACAGCCAACGCAAGTTAGTGTTTTGCAACTGCAACCCTCGTCGTTGTCCGGTTTGAAAATGATCGACAGGTCCAGACGCTGCCGGCCGCGTGCTCAGACTTCTCACGTTGTCTGAGGCACTCTGTTTTTGACCAAGGCCAGTCGGAGCAGGCGATGGCTGGGCGAAATCGTCGCACTCTGTGGAGGATCGCGGCTCGTCTTGCCTGCTGGAGGCGGAGGAGAAAGCCTCGCTTGCCCTAGGCCTTTTTACATGTTCACGTGAGCACACGATGTGCAATGGGTTTTGGGAGGTGAGGAGAGGCGCAAAGTCGAGGATGCAGCTGCAGAGGCTGCCCAGGCCACACTGACCGTCAACTCACCTTGAACTTCAAAGAGCCTCTGTTTGCTGGCTCGTGTGCAGGCACTGCGGGCCATAGCTGCAGAGGCTGAGGCCTTTAAAGGATCCAGCGGTCCCGTGATGTGCGGAGCCTGTTCCTATGCTTTTCAGACTGATCAGGCTCGGGTCCAGGCAGAGCGTCAAGCAGCAACCGCTGAGGCCGTCAGCAAAGATCAGCAGGTTCTCGCGCTGACTCTTGTGAATGCAAGCCCCTGAGCCCTCGCAGGTCTTGGCGCAGAAGGCATGCCACGATGAGGCAGCAGACGCAGAGTGGGGACTTGACGAACTTTGGCAGCTTTGCATTCGAGCATTCATGCAGTCCAAGGCAATGGCTCGGATCCAAGCCGAGCTCAGCGAACTGAAGGCGCAGGTCCGAGAGAGAGAGTGAGTACGCGACCCTGTGCTGCCTGCGCTCTACGCTTTTCTTCGTGGCCTTGCTGTCCGGGCCGGGATGCCCGGGGCCGCGCTCTGCAGGCGGCAGCTCGAGAGACTATGGAAGCTTCGCTCACCGGAGCTGCTGGAGCCACGGCGCTTCTCCCCTTCTCTCGAGCCCTTTTCCATGTTCTTGGATACCCTCAACTTTAGCAAGGCCATGGCCCGCATCGAATCGGAGCTTGCAGAGCTCAAAGCCGAACAAGCAAAGGCGAGGGTGTTGCCGTTGCCTGGCATCTGTCCGTGACGATGTGGAGGCCACGGCTCGCAGCGTGGAAACCATCCCGTTCCCGGTGCAATGCGAGCACCCGGAGCAGGAGACCCCTCCTGCGGCGGCTTCAGCACCAAGCCCGGCCACGACTTGAGCTTTGCACTGCCCTTTTCAAGATGTTGAATATAGAGTCGGAAGATTCGATGTGATGTGCCGATCCCAGGAAGCCGCAGAAGTGGCGCTCAAGGCAGTCCCTGAGAAGGCAGGGTCCGCTGCCCGCTGCTACTTGGAGGACTAATCGCATCTGCCCCGCATCTGCCATCATGTTCCCCTTTCGAAGAGGCCGCAGAGACACCCAGATCGTCTTTGGAAAAGACGGTGGTCCGCAACTGATTTTTCTGCAGCTACATACAGTGTCTCGCAGGGACAGACAGGGCAGTTCTCAGTGGCGGTCAAACCTCCTGCGACTCAGATTGTATGCGAAGAGCCTGTCGACCACAAGGGCTTGGTGGCAAAGGGGGACGTGAGCTTGGACAAGACTACAGCCAACGACCCAGCAAGGCAAGGTTTGTTCCGCCGCAGCCGACACCGCCACTTGGTTGTGGCATGCCTTCTTACCTGTGCTGAAGAAGCCGGAGATAACCACAGTGTGCTCTTCTTTCCGCCCACCCCGCGTATAACCCGGTGAACTGAGAGTGGCTCGTTCCTCTTGAGGTCGTGAACGATGACTGCCTTCATGAGTCTTCACAGCCGTTGGAACGTGAGGCGATGGCCCGCGGCTTACCGGCTGGAGCGCAGTTTCTTTCCGCCTTGGCTCGCACTTCGCACTGTCCATTTCCCAGACACAGGTCAGCCTAGAGAAAACCATTGCCACAGGCTCAGGCTCAGACCATCTCAAGCTCAGGAAGTGCTTGCTGAGTCCTCCCGAACTCAGCGGCCCAGGCTGTTGACGTGCCATCTCCCAGCAAAGCGGCCGAAACCACAAAGGAAAAGGAGTCGCCCGAGCCATTGCTTGCCCGTGGCTCTGACCGACTGGTCTTGAACTTTGAGAGCTTGAGCTTCTTGAGCTTCAGTTCGGGTCTGACGTGCTGCAAGCCGTCGAGAAAGCTCGAGCAGCAGCGCAGAGCCCAGCAGCAACACCTGACACTTTCAATGCTGTTGTGTTTGCAGCACCATGACTTGCTTCTTTCAATTTGAGCCTCCGAATCATGTTGGGATCTCTCGCCTCACAGCACAGGTGGCGGAGCTGCAGCGGCGTGCAGGCATCAATCAGGACCAGGAGGTCGGAGTGTTGCAGGGTGCGCGGTTGCTCTGTCGTGCCAATGCATTGGGAGCAAGGCATCAAGGAAAAAGCAGGAGAAACAGTCGCTTTGCACCCGGCTGGTTCAGCACATACTCCAAATGCTATCTCGTCACTCATGAGGCCAGCCTCATTGACGCATGCACCGTTTTGCATGGGCCACAGCCGCCAAGCAGAGGGCTTTATTCAACCGTCGGCCGATGGCATCTAAGGCCATGATACTGTCGGTCTGAATGTTCTTCTATCTCAGGACTTGGGGTGTTCGTAGTTCGACTAGAAGCAGAAGTTCTCTCTTCAGCCAGGACGGGTACACTGCGACCCGCAGCTGCGGCTGCCGCGAGTGCGCCCATAGTCAGCTTGCAAAGTCGTAGACCTTCGATGTGAGCTTGACGAGGTCAGTGGCCGTATGCAAAGGGCCCCTATCACAGCAGGGTGCAGGGTACTTCGAGGTGGAGGCTCACCTGCGAGCAAACTCTCTAGCAAACTTGGCTGGGAGTTTTGGTCAGTGTGTCCTTCGCCAAGAGGTTTGTCAAACAGTCGATGGCTGGATTGGAGGGCCCGACCCTGATACGCAATTTGCAGACTACAGCGGCAACACTGGGATGTTGCGTCTAAGGCTGGGCATCGGTGTAACACATTCCAGTCCGAGCAGGGCACCTAAAAGCTCAAAAAACAGAGCGCTTTGGGACCACCACGTCTCTGCTCCCTTGAGGCGACCTCAAGGAGCAGCCAGGGCCTCGGTGCAGTTTTGGGTAGAGCCTCCCATGGAAAATGCTGCTCAGGCGATTGCCAGACAAAGCGTGGCGGGTACCGCGGTCCTTCGTTCTGGGCTATGCAGGCTCCGGGCTCCGGGCTGTTTCACCTTCTTAAGATCCTGCCGGCAGGGAACAAGTACCTCAATGGAAAGGAGGGCACGGTGGACTGGCAATCGGACCAGCTGAGAGGCAAACTTGTGCTCTAGCGGCCAAGCAGCAAGTTCGAGTCCTTGTCCTTGAATTCGCAGTCGGACAGCGAGTCGGCCTCCTTATCGACGGTCGGGACCTCGGAAATTGAAAGTCTGCGAATGGCGAATGCAGAGCATGACAGGTGGGAGCCTCTTTGTCCTTGTAGATGGACAAGAAGTGCATCCGCTCAGCGAAGTTCCACATCCGAGAGTTTCACGGTTGCGGCTTCCTTTTTGAGGTGGCTTCGGTGCCGGAAGCGGAGATGCTTTCTGCCGGCCTTCGCTGGGCCCTCAGATGCCCTCAGTGCTCAGGTTCCTGAACAAAACCTGATCCTCTGTTGAAAAGGCCAGGATGAACCGCTCTATGGCATCGTGGACATATACAACGTGGGCCTCCTGATTTCAACTCGCATCCCACACGATGACCCTCGTGTCAGTGCCACGCAGGCTGCCTTGTCCGTGAGGTTGCTACCAGGCTCGTTCTGTTAGGGGTTGGTGGAGACCACGTCTATATAGTCATGTGTCATGTGGGGACATGTAGGCGCGTTCTGAGTGGGGAGGATCCAGTCTTTCACAAGCCTAGGAAGCAGAGAGATCCAGGCTGCGTGCTCGGAGTTCAATGCTCGAAAGGGCTTTGGTTCACGCCAGGAGCGGTCGTGCCGCAGAAATGACGCTGGCTTTTGACTAGCAGCGCCCACAAGATTACTGGGGCCTTGCGAAGCAAAGGCGGCAAGGCCCTTGCAAGGTGATTATGGGAACGGCGATGTTTCCACGGCTTGCTAGCTGCTAGCCGTCACCTCTTCAAGGTTTCTTCGTACGATTGAAGCTGGAGGGCAAATGTTTAAGGATATGTCGGCATCGAGCAAGTCCAAGACTGTGCAGGCATGCTGCTCGTTGGTGTTTTTTTGTCTTCCTTATGATGAACGCCACGAAGTGGAGGTTCATGGCTTGTTCCTGGGTCAGAAGAATCGTTCATGAACGAATCTTAAGGTTACGTACGTCAGACGACCTGGGCGAGAAGAGGTTGCGCGCTGTCACCTTCGGGAAGGCGTACGAAGCAACGGGTCAAGGCTTTTTGTGCTAAGGCAAGGCTGTACATGCCTTCCTTCGCGTACAGACCTTGCACCCGCGCTTACTCAAAGAGCTTATCTTCGCACGACAGTCAATAGAACTTACGTGCTTCCTTTCGACCAGTTTTCCAACCTGTGTCAGTACCATTTTTTTCTTAGCTTGGGTCTCCGGCATGCCTGATCGCCTGATGACAGTTTGGTCCAAACCACTGTTATACAGTTATACTTGTCTTGCAAAGCTCGTGGCACAAGTCATATCATCCCATATACGATGCGAGTTGCACGAAACGTAACCCAATCCATCTGAACCATCGTGACCCCCAGTGCCAACATACTCAGCTAAATGGGTCGAATGCTCCTCGTGTAGCCGTTTTCTCCCATCGACGTGTCCGCAGAGACCTGATGGAACAGCAGGATCAGGCGGAATGAGACGTTGTTGTGGGGTCTCGCGCCTTCTGCTTTCCTTTATTCGGTGCTTGATCAATCTCAAAACTTGGTACACAAGTCCTTGTTTGGAAGGTCCGTTTCAAGTTGCCCTGATGGATGGCGGCCATTCCGCACCTGAAAACGTAGTTCGGTCGCTCGGCAGGATGTAGTCAAGCTTACCAACGAGTCTGCGGGCTAAGCGCATGGAAGAGCCATGTAGGTACTTCGCCGTCATCGGTGCACACGATGAGCGAGCATTGCCGGAAGTGGCGGGCTTTCGGCGTCGCGCGGCAATTCTTGAGTACGCCGCATCTAGCTGTTCAGCCAAGGCGGGCGATTGCCTCCCTGTCCAAGTCCTTCAGCGATACCCGCAGAAGGACCACAAGGATGTCAGGCCGGTAAGGATAGTGTTCTGCAACATGCACCGAGTTGTCGTTGCCAACCAGTGACAGGTTTCCGCCTGCCCTTGCTTCCTTCTGCTTCCCACGAGGAGGCTTGTCTTTCCGAAATTCTGGTGAACGTGTGTGGAAGCTTTCTAGACCAGGTGCCCAAGTTGCAGAGCCGCAGAAGGAGGCGCTGAAAGTGAAAACCTCGGGCCGCTGGGCGGATGGGAATGGACTCCTGAGGTGGAGGAGACACTTCACGGTTTCGTTCTCACGAACGAAGCAGGCGACCGCTGCTTTGGGGCGGCGCTGCGCCCAGAACATCCGACAAGCGCGGAAGCGTGCGGTGGGGCCTGATTGTGTCCCAGGCCCTCCACATCTGGTGCTTTGACTCTTCTCGCATGCACTTGGTGCAGAGGGACGGGGTCCTGGCCAATTTCTGTTGCTCAATGCGTTGGACCAGCTGGAGCCAATCCGAAGGTTTGTCCTTGTACAGGCACTGGCCGTGCTCAGTACGCAGCCGCTCTGGGGAGCTCTGCGCTCAGGGCCACTGTGCAAGAGCCACAAAGACAAAAAGGGCAACTCTTTCTCACCTTCTACACAGCCATCTTGTCAGGCCTTCCGTGCATTCCTTTACAGTTTGCGGTACTCCGGAAATTCTCCAGAGAGGCCCGACCTAGGGACTCGGCCAGATCCGAAACTTCCCTACCAAGAAGAACTGTTTGCAGGTTCGTGGTCAGCTTCGTCTCTGAGACACCGTTGCCCCCACCGGGATTCCAGGTGATTGTGAGAAGCCTGGACAAGAGTCTTGAGAAGCCTACATAGCCTCGTTTACGGCTTCGAACGTCAGGTTCCCTGGCCAGAGATACCAGCGTTCGCACTGCAAAGACCAGCGCCGCAGCAGCCCGATCTGCCATGCACGCGGCATTTTTCAAGCATCTTCATGCATCTCTGAAAACTTCCCAGGAACCAGCTGCCTCTGCTTGACCTACCCGTCAGGCGAACTGGCGGGGGCATGAGGCGACACTTGCGACGTTGGTCCTGCTAGGTTGATTTTCCAGCAGCTCAAGCCCGAAAGTGTCGTCACGATTGTCGAGGCCGACCTGAAATCAACTGCTTGCAGGGCAGGACAAGCCTCTGGTGCTTTGCAGGCCTTGCTCCTCGAGCATCGAATCGTTCTTCATTCCGTCTGCGACGCGCTCTGTTTTCGGCCAGTGCTGTTTAGTGCAGCTTGGGCATTGTGTCTTGTCATGGCCCCGGAAATGCAGCCAGTTTGGCCCTGCATTGCAGGATAGTCGGGTGCTACAGCATATAGGGGTGCAGACTCGGAAAAGCCCGCATTGCATGATAGGAAGTCTGCAAGTGCACACGCGGAGAAGGCAAGAGCCAAACCTCCCATCCGCAGCATCTCATGCTTGCATCCGTGCCATGGCAAAGGGCAAACGGCACTCGTCAAACTCTCGATCTCGCCGTTCTCGCAGCTCGCGGAGCTCTTCCACGTATCCACGGCGCTATCGGTCGAAGCCTCTGAGGAAGAGCTCGAAGCATACAAAGCGTTCGCGCAGCCCGCGCAGCCGTTCCAGGAGCCGCAGAAGCCGTGGTAAACGTCGCCCAGTGACACCACCCAGAAGGCTTCCGCCGAAGAAGGAGGACGAGGAAGCTTCAGAATCCTCATGCGACTCTGGTGCATCTCGCCAGTTTGACCAGCAGCAGCCCAGGATGGGCGTTCTGTATTGGGGAGGTGGCCTGGAGGGACAGGGCTGGGATTTGTCTGGCCGTCTGCCTGGTGGGTTTCCACGCATCGATCGCTATTCCGATGCTCTCGTGGACAGCTGGAAGGGTCGCATGGAGAACGCGCAGGTGACTCTTAGAATGTGTGCTTCTGAGGGGCCAGGTTTCAAGAGATACATGAAGCATTTCATGATGCTAAGCTCTCAGGCATGTGTGGAGTTTCGTTTGAGGCAGTACCACCGCTACAACACGCTTTGTCGCAGGAAGGTCCTTACGGAGCGCCAGGTCATCGGAGGTATCCTGGAAACCTGGCACAACGGGACCTCCAATTCGGGCATGCGGATCAGCAACGGAGGGGAGCCGGAGCCAACCTTCCTCGCCTTCCTGAACCGGCGCGCGCGACGCTACCGAGCGCAGGCGCGGAGACTAGGAGGTCATTTTGCTGCCGTCATCTTGGAAGGTGGTCAGCAAGAGCTTAAATTTGTCGCTGCTGCCAAGACGCTTTCTGCGGAGCGGCCTGCGAACCTGAAACGGGTGCTGTTTATTCTCGGGGGGCCCGATGGGATATCAGACAGTATCCGGCAACAGTTGCGGACGACACTGGAGGAGCATACGGACTTCCCGCTGTTGGGAATCGCACTGCCTGGTGGGATCCTGCACTCTTATTATGCGCTGGCCACCGTCCTCGTGTTTCATGATCAGGGTTTGTTGATTCCTTATTTGGAGTTCCAGGCTGGAAAGCCTCGGCAGGTTGTGAAATCCAAGGCTCGTCCCGCCGCACCGGTGGAGGCTCCATCGGCTGAGGCTCCAACCCAAGAGACTGTGGAGGGGCCGCCGAAGACCCAGCCGAAGCCAAGGGACGAAGCGGAAGACAAAGACAAGACGAAGCGTGCCGACGTTGCTCCGCAGCGGCTGTTACCCGGCCCGGTGAATGCGCTTGCAGCCCTTGCCCCGAAGCCTCCGCGCTGCCCGCCGCCCGCTCATCTCCTGGCACAGCGGCCGCAACTGCCAGCTGGACCCCAGAGGCCAGAGAGTCCCGTGAACGGGGGCTTGTTGCCGAAGATCCCAGGCTTGGTTCCAGCCGACGGTCCCAGGCTTGGTGCCAGCTTTTCAGCCGCCCTGTTCCCTGGTCGACCGGTCCCACCACCTGCCCGGGTTCTCGCTCCAAATGCCTCAGACAACCACTGGGCTGCAGAAAAAAGCGCGTACCGACCTACGGGGTGAGGCCGCCGCAAGTTTGAGAGTGGCTGCTTCATGGTGGAAACGTGTCATTGCGGCCAACACTAGCTGACCAAGCCGAACCACTTGGAGGTTTGTGACATATTCTGGAGTTCTAGTAGTAGTGTTACTGTTGCTGCTGAAGCTGTTGCTGCTATTATTGCTACTTCTACTTCTACTTCTACTTCTACTTCTACTTCTACTTCTACTTCTACTTCTACTTCTACTTCTACTTCTAGTACTACTAGTAGTAGTAGTAGTAGTAGTACTACTACTACTACTACTACTACTACGACTACTACTACGACTGCTACTGCTACTACTACTACTACTACTACTACTACTACTACTCCTACTCCTACTCCTACTACTACTACTACTACTACTACTACTAACTACTTCTACTACGATCACTGCTTCTCTATACAACCCCCAAATCCTACTGGTACTCTTCATCTTTTTTCTGCTGCTGCTGCTGCTACTACTGTTGCCACAAGTACCACCATGACGACGACGGCTTCCACTACTACTGCTTCTGCCTTTTCTTCGAGGCTAATGCTTGAGAACCATTGGTTCACTGTTACTTCAGCAGGCAAGAAGTGCCGGTGAATGGCAACGAATTTTCCCGCGTGTTTGACTGCGCGCCGGAAAACACTATGCGCTCCAACTCACATCGCAACCCCAAAGCCCAAACCATCTAAGTTGCCACGCCCTCAGCCCTGCATGCTAGACCCCTAACGCGAGTACTTGCGTGCAGCACATCGACATTCCAAATCTCCGGCCTACGGAATGCCAAGTCCAGGTCAAAACCAGAGAACAGTTCCCGGGTGGTCCACTTAGAAGCCGGAATAGTTACCAAGACAGCTATAGGGATGCAGAACTGCAGTTAGCATATACTTTGAGGCCCCATTCCAATCAATAAGGTCTCTGTTTTAGGTGTCTGCCGGTCCCGACTGTCGCCTGGACCCCGAAAGGCCTACCTTGTTTGTCTCTGGACTGGTAGAAGGAAACCAAAACAAGGAGCCCTACAACAGTACATCTCAGTAGGTTATCCAGGATTTGGGCTTAGGAACCCATACCGGAAGCCAAGACAAGAAGACCCCCGGGCTCTCGTGAAGAACGCTGGTTTTGCTTCGATGATCCCGAAACACTAAACCCTAAAAGCCTGAACCCCTAAAGCCTTAAACCCCTAAAGCCTTAAACCCCTTACTAAACCCTAAACCCCTAGCCCCTAAAGCCCATAAAGCCCTGAACCCATAAAGCCCTAAACCCACAAAGCCCTGAACCCTCAAGCCCTGAACCCATAAAGCACTAAACCCACGAAGCCCTAAACGTCCAAAACCTTCACCGGCTTCTTGGCTCTCTAGTAACCCTTGGCCTGGTTCCCTGGACCTGCCGCGACCGGCCGCAGAAGGTCCCTTATGCAAAAAACGAAGAGGGTTAGGGTTTAGGAAGACTGTTTAATAGATATGTAGCTGTATCTATAGATATGTATATATATATATGTAGGTTTAATTGAGGAAAATACTTTATAGATGTTAGTAGGATCCCTGATAAGAGTTAAAGGTCTGTTTTCCTGAATTAAGGTTATGTTGGAAGGTCTGGGTAGATAGAGATATGGATATATGCATATAGATATAAGGCCTTTCCCTTAGCATCAAAATAGCCCAAAAGCCTTATATAATAGGGTCTTTGGGCCCAACAGCCTTAAAATGTGAGTCCTTCGATGCTAAGACCCTTTTGAACTTCGAAGTCGGTGTATAGTGAGGAGCCCCACGGCTTTCTGATTCTGCCATACGTAAGTAGCGAGCCTGAAATCGGAAAGAAGTTTCCATGGTTTCTTAGGAGTTTATTCCTCCAACCTTGGTGTACTCAATCACGAAGTGCGCTTGGAGGCGCGCACTCGGAATACTTCGTGGTCCCGTGGCCCACTGCGGCTTTTAATCCAGAAGGTTGACACGAACTAGTGCTACTTGGGACGATTTTCTTTGTCTCCTTAGGTGGCATTTCTGCGCGTTAGTCTCGGAATGCTTATAACTCGAACACCCGCAACTATCCTAAACCGGTCTCAGGCCAACTGAGATTCTGAGGTCCCAACACCCCAGGTGTTCCCAAATCTTTCACTTCAATTCCTAAGCGTCCGATCCTCTACAATATGAAGATCGGAGTACTTCGGAATGCTGCTCCTTACGACTCAATACCCAAATTCCCCTGTCCTACCTATGGTCTCTATGGTTCTTCCCTTTTTGGGCCGGGATCCACTAGGTTTCTAACTCAGGATCCGAAGGGACACCCAGTTTTTCCAAGCCTTCAACCCGGAGCTCTAGCCGTCGAGACCTTTGGTTGAATAGGGTTTTAGGGATTTAGCGTTTAGGGATTTGGGTTGGGAGTCATTTTAGGCTAGGGTTTGGGTTTAGAGGTGTATTCTCTCGAACAGACTCTTCCAGCTTTGCACACGATTTGTTTCGGGTTTGGGGTGTGGAAGTTTGTCCTTTTGTAGGCCTCAGGGTTGAGGGCTTACGTGTCTCGCCGCGGTAGGCGACAGGCAGCCCGATGCCCCTGAACCCCGAAGCTGCGCACCCGTAGATCTTGAAGCCTCAAAGATCGAACTTCTGAACCCAAAAAACGCTTAACCCCGAACATTGGACTACAAATCCCCAAGCCAAAACCCATATAGATCCCAAACCCCGAAACCTCAAACCAAATCCTTAAACCCAGGACCCACAGCTCCAAAACCCAAGTCTTTCCACCTGCAACCCAAAGACGCGAATATGTAAGCCAAAAAAACCAGTGCTGCTCTTCTACTGGGCTCCTTACAATGCAACTCTCACAGTATCATATAGCCCACAACCTTAGTCTGATTTTCACAAGCCCTGATCCTTAAATGCTAAACCCTGAACTCTCGGAACCCCAAGGGTCCCATGTACTATTATGGGAGCTACTTCCCTAAACCATAGCAGTATAGTTCCTAACATAGAGACCCGACATTCTTTTCTAGAGGTACGGAATTAGGACCCTTTGGGGAAGGATGGCCTATGCCAGCTCCCTCGGCCGTCCCTGGACACCCTCGCGCCAGACTCCTCGCGCGCGGCGCATGACTGGTTGGGCCCAGGTCTCGGGCGCTCTAACGCTTCTTAGGTTTAGGGTTGAGGGTTTAGGAGTCCCTGTTTTGGGTTTAGCGTTTATCAGGGGTCCTGGAGAGTTCGATTAGTGTTGCTACAGGGCTTCTGCAGTGGTTTGAGAGTACTGGGCGCCCCAAATTATTGGACTAGGGTTTTGGTGTATGTTATCGTCATTCTACAAGCACCGTTGTATTTAATACAAGGTGGCATCACCGCCAAGTTTTCGACGTCTCTAGTAACCTCATAAGGGCCCTAGTATCAAATAGTTCTCCCCTAAATACGACCCTCCACCAAAAAAAAAACACACCTAATTTAAAGGCATAGAAGCCTCCAACCTAAGCCTGGTAGCTTCATGAGGGCTTCATTCCGATGGGTCTGGAAGCCCCAAACCAAGAAGCTTAGGAGGAGGTCTCGCTCTTGTAGAACCAGCATAGAAACCTTTGCACAACTCTCATCACGCTTTTTTAGGGTTTAGGGTTTAGGGGCTTTTGTGGAAGACAAACTCCCAAACTCAATGCCCCGGCGCCCAGGTAGAGCTCAGAAACGGGCTCGGTCCTGCACAGGCGGGTTGGAAAAGTTAGCCCTGCGTTCTGGTTGAGGGTCTGGGGCAGTTGAGGGGAATTACGGGTTTTGAAGAGTGTAGGGGTTCAGGGATTCATGGTAATGACACCCGCGTCTACGGATTGCGGGGTTTCAACAGAAACTTCACGACCCCTAAGGGTCCATGTTTCCCGAAGTAACAGTTTCGACTTTGTCCTGCATTAAAGTAATCCCTATATAGGTAGTTTGGGGCCAAAGTANNAAAGTATATATTCTTTGGGTACATGGACCCCTAGAATGGATGACGAGGACGTTGGCTTGACAGCTCAGGCTGTATGTAGCGTTGGATTTAGGATGCATCTCTGCCTGTGCGTGATTCTTCTGCAGCACTTAGCCATTGCGTTATACAGGCAGGAGAGAGGTTTCAGGAATGCGGCTGCACAGCTGAAGGCGTTCGCTGTTCTCGTCTCCGACGCCGCACACATGCCCATGCTGCGGTTTGTTCAGCATGTAACTACACTCGAAAGTGCCTTTCGCGTTGGTGCCGTCGGTGTTTCGCGTGTGCAGTTCCTCGTTATTGCGAGTTCCGGAAACTCGGTATTTGCAGCGTTTCCTTGGCTTCAGGTGGTGAACACATCGAAAATAAGGTGATTCCTCTCTTTGGCCGGCTTTTTTACGGGAGTGGGAGTTGGAAAAGAGCGAACCCATAGCCAAGACTTACTGTTGCGATGTGCGAAGGGGAGTAACCCATGGCCAGGACTGGGGGGGGGGGGGGGGGGGGNNGGTCGGGCCGGAGGGCCGGGGGAATAACTTCGTCGTTAAATTTCGCTCATTCGCTCTCTGCCGTGTTTCCGGGCTTTGACACAAACACATATATACACATAAGTAACAAGAGATAAGTACAGGGGGCGTGGGTGTGTCGGGGCGGGGTGGGTGGGCGGAGGAGAACTCCGTCATTTAACTTTCTTGGAAAGACATCATTCGCTCGCTGCCGTCTTTCCTTGCATCATCGACATACATTATATGTACACATAAGTACAGGGTACTTGCATTACCATGTTGGATGCCGCGAAAGACCGTGACTGTCTGTCCAGCTGAGGAATAAACAGGCGGTGCTTTTCAGGATTGAGGTTTAAGCCCCTTAAACCCTAAACATGCTTGAAGCATTAAAAGCAGATGCCCGAAGCTTTCAAAGCCCGCAATCCTGTAAAATATACTTGCAAACGTGTGTTACAGAACAGTGAATACAGACCACACACACATTCCTGTCCGACGCAATGTGCTGTAATTTACAGCATGCTTGCAAAAATAAGCCTGCAGATTAAAGAGCTGTCCTTGTTGTACAATGCCATATCTTGTGTCCTTTGATCCATGGAAATCACAGAAAACCGCGAAAATGTCGATGCATTCGGCACTTGCAGAAAATACCGGCGCCACCAAGGTTTTCAGACCCTGAAGTCTATGAAGCGTTGTAAAACCCCGATGCAATCCGCATGTGCGCAGCACGTCGCAGCGTTCGTAGTGTTGTTTTTGGAGTATCGGGATTCAGTGCTTTTTGTGGTTTCAAGGGCGCTCAC